GTTGATTCACTTGTTTAATTTGATTTCTTTTTTTTTTTTTTTCATTTAATTTAATTTATACGCGAGCAACCGTATATTAATTGATTATTAATTTTTTTTTTTTTTTTTTTCAAATTTTTTTTTTTTTTTTTTTATTTGAAATCTGCATATTCGTCGGGGAAGAAGTTAAATAGAATATTATTTTTTTTTTTTTTAAATCACTTGTAAAAGAAAGTGCGTTATTGTTTCGTTATTGTTAATTTCGTTTATTTATCCGAGGAGGTGTGATATGCTGAAGAGAAGAAGGTCCTGAGAGGTAGAAGGAGAGTGAGAGAGAGAGAGAGAGAAAGAGAGATAGAGAGAGAAAGAGAGAGAGAGAGAGAAAGAGAGAGATGGACATTCATCGCGTGAGTGTTTTTAATTATCTCAAATCTTTCTTCTGTTATACGTGCCGGTAATTATGACAGCATATTATCGGTTATAAATTTTTAATCTTACGATTCGTTCTTTTTATATTACAATTATTTGTTTTTTCTTTTTCTTTTTTTTATTAGATAAATCATAAAATAAATTTATTAATTACCCGATACGCATTGTCATAATTATCGGCAAATATGTTTCTGGAAGAGATAGAATTTATAAATAGAATTTATTTTAAGTATATATATACGTATTTACCATAGCTGTCCAGTATTTTAATCGAAATGTTATTTATCGATAATAAAACGTTTGTTAGTTCGAAGTAGAGAGAGAGAGAGACAGTAATAAATAATTTTTGTCTTTCTTTCCTGACATGATGTCAGTAAAAGAAAGAAATTCTTTTGTCGAAGGATCGCGAAATGTGTCACTTTCCGTTTGTTGAGTTCGTTCATCCTCGTTATCGATGAACAAATAAAATTTTCAAAAATCGGGTCATGTTACGTTAAATCTCAACCGGATATCCTTATTTTTATTGAAATTTGTTAACATATTTCTTAAATATAAAGCTTAAATATATTCACGCACATAATGAGAATGGTAAATTCAATTAGATAATATTTTTGGTACACTGCTTTCTCTTAGTGTTCATTAATTACGATCATATATAATTTAGAACTTTGTTAATTTGTCAAGACAAATGATTTTGTTCTTCCGATAATTATATTCATTAATTTTCTTTGAAACACGCAAGTTAGAATTATGTAGAGAGAATATAACACGAAGAACACAATAGACGTGTTTTATATACATAAAATTCGGATAAATTGGTGAGGATCATTTTTTTTAATTGAAAACAAAAATTTTCGTTTTATTTGTTTTTTCTTTCGAAAATAAAAAAGATGATAATATATATTAACCGTTTCTTATTAATAGACTTACCTACGTCCAAATAGAACATTGTGCGATTTGAAATGATAAAACAAACTCTCCCTTCGTCATCTAATCTATGTACTATCTTATAATTATCTTCATCAGTTCGCGTAATTTCGTAAAAGTACCGTTAGACGACAACAACCGTTCGCCGGTGTCTTGTCTTTCCTATAAAATCATCCAAGAGATCTAATTTTCACTTAACAATTTCCCACGTTACTCGGCCGATTTAATTTCGGATTATTCTTATTCCATCATAATAATTGTACTCATTAAGATATTTCACTTTTTAATTTAAATTTAGTAAGAGAGAGAGATAGACAGATAGAGAGAGAGAGAGTTTAAAAGATCGAAGATATAATACACGGTAGCATGGTACTAAATATAATAATAATAATACATTGATTAAAATTCAACGCATGAGGAAAGTGATCGGTTCGTTAGTTTTGTTAAAATATTATAGAACAAATTAATACACAAAATCGTTCTTAGATTATATATTTTTATTAAAGTATCGACATCAAAAATATAAATTTATTAAATTTTATTAGAAATAATATAATAGTTTGGTTCAAAAATATAATTATTTGCGTGTTATAATATATACGTTTATTTGTCAAGTAATAACGTTAATAGAAATAGTTTGAAAATTAAAATAGTCTATAAAAATTAATATAATATATAATATATCATTTTTAATAAATAGATAAAGAGATAGAAAAAAAAATATGTTCAGCATATGTTAACAATATTATTAATTATTATTAGTGTGGTTGGTTCTTCTCGATTAAAGTCGGTTGAATCTTTTCATACAAAACTTTCATGTTTGGCGCGCGCTTTGATGAGAGATACACGTGGTCACCAATACATAAACGCAAGAATATGCGTCACACATATTACATACATGCGCATTACATCGTCTTTTCTCCCCGTAGGTCGACTCTCATAATCCCCACAGTCTACTTACCTACATTGCTGAGCTCGTACGCGCATCTACATACATATATACATACACACACACACACATATATATATATACATATTATAAACATATAACTGAGTATCACGAACTTCTCTCTTCGGTGAGATCTCAAAGTGTTTCGTGATATTCGATCACGATTTCATCCTCGATCGAAGGTACAATTTTGTCATTAAAATTATCTTCATGACAATTTGTTGTTTTTTTATCTAAGATTCGAATGAATCTTAGACGTTTCGATGTTTTTCTATTTAATGAAATTTACGATATATGATAAAATTTATAATTCGTCTTTCTCTTCCATTTATATTATATTTTTTCTTTAATTATGTTAGGGGGGAGGGGAGATATGTTTTTACAAGAAACAATTGAGATAAACGAAATGGCAATGATCTTTCGCGTATTATACCATTCGATGATAAACAATCCAAATTTATTTCTTTACGATTTAATCGAATCGTTTTCCTTCGTAATTTAATTCAGAGAGATATTTGTAATTTAAAAAAAAAAGAAAAAAAAACGGAAAATATAAAAATACAGACGAGGAAGGAACAAGTTGGGTCGAGCGGAACGAATCAGTGAAATCTTTGCTACTTGGCACGTTGAAATCGTAATACCATAACGTGCGAGGATTCTCTTATTCGCCATTGTAAGTTAAAATTGCTTTTAGTACGGCAAAGAGAAAGAAAGTAAGAAAGAACGAAAAAAAGAACAAGAAAAGAAAAAGAAAAAGAAATAAAAAGTAGAGATAGAGAGAGAGAGAGAGAGAGAGAGAGAGAGAGACAAAAAGAAAAGAAAAGAAATAGAAAGAAAGAGAGAGAAAGAAACAAAAAAAAAGGGGGAAGAAAGCCGTTCTTATACGAATTTGCATTTTGCGTATGTATTAGTGGAATCCCTACGGAGGAGGGTCTAGTTGTAGATAATACAATCCAATCTATACCTCTCATTTATCCGTTTCCTTCACTTTCCTATGTCGTTTCCGGTTTCTTTGACGCAAAACACGTTTTTAAGATTATGCCTGGCTGCTGTGTCTGTATACGTGCGTATACGCGTGCACGCGCAACTACTCTCGTTCTCTCTCCACACAGTGAACGAACGCATGCTTATGTGTATGTGTATTCTCTTTGGCACGTAAATGGCACGTGAAGCTCGCCAAGAGAATCATTCAATCTGCGTCTCGTGTGAGAAAGTCTCAAAGCCTGGCCACAAATCGACTCGTTCTCGACCTACACATCGACACACACGTACACGCACATCGACACACATGGATACGGACACATATGCCAGAGAGATTCGTTTTCCTCGTAGCCTTTGCCTCTGAGATCACTCGTGCACGTGTTTCTTTTTTCTGCACGAATAGTAAGAGGTGGGTGGAGAAGGGCGGTGGGGGTGGGGAAGTAGTGTGCGAATAGGCGAAAGGATGAGAATTAGGAATCTCGGAAAAGACTTCTTCATTTTCAGATTTCATTTATTTATTTATTTATTTATGTATGTGTGTGTGTATGTATGGGATGTGAATGGAAAGAAAAGTACGTGACGATATATAATTAGGATAAAGAAAATATTATAATAATAATATAATGACTTTTTTAAATATTATAGAAAAGATTGAATTTAATTGCATTCTAATATGATTTGAAAATATTATTAATTTATTTGTTTTGTTTATAAATATGATATATTTCATTTTAATATTAATGAGATATTTTATAGGGTGATATTGTTCGAAATATTTTTGACACGTTTATTTAAGCGAAATATATTTTGTTAGTAATATATTATTCAATCAAATTTGTACGATGTGTCATGTGTTTAATGTATAGTAATTATGAATACTGATCGTATAAAAAGGATTTTAGAAATGACGTTTTATTGGAAAGGAAAAAAAAATTGTGCACTCTGAACCATTCAGAGGAAAGGAGTTATTCTTTGAAAAGATTAATTATATTTCATAAAATAATTATCGATTCATAAAAGACTATGGTATATGCGAGTAGGAAGAAGAGTCTAGTTCCGCGTACGGCACACATAATCTGTGGAAGGTTCGAAATGATTCTCACGGAGTGACCCACTTTAAGCTAGTGTGTATATACTCGTATGCCATTGACTGCTACGAGATATACTCATACATAATTCTTTTTTCTTTTTTTTTTTTTAACGTTGTAAACGGAGGAACGAACGAACGAACGAACGAATGAACGAACTTTCATAAATTTTCAAGCGTACCAAGTGGTTATGCGAAAATACATCGTGTAAAGTACGCGAATCTTATTACTTTATTTCGCATAGTCACGCGGAACATTTTCGCGAGCATGTTGTAAGCGTTACATAGCAGATAATGCGAGATCCACATTGACGATATAAAATAAAATCGATGCGTTTCAAATTGTAAGAAAAAAAAAAAGAAAAAAAAAGCGTACGAGAGATTCTCGTGCAGGTGTCAAGTATTTTTACAAGCATATATGTATAATGTATGAAGAACAAGGACGTTTAACATTTTATACGAATGCTTTCTTTTTTAGGTCTTGGTGTTCTTAGTATTGTTGACATGTGTCGTTGGTACACTTTCATCATCGGACAACGATCGGGCCGTTCCAAATTCGGTAAAACGAAATCGAAGATACGCCTTAAGCGAATTTTTGATTCCACCGCCTTTACCGCAAACGCCATCACGCGTATTTCCCGGAGGAAGAACTGGGCGAACTGCTAATCCAAATCCTATTGAATCTCCGGGTTACTTCTCCAAGTTTATTAGTTGGTTAAATCCATTTACAAGTGGTACTTCTGTTGAAACACCACCACCACCACCTCCGGATACGCTTCATCCACCAAAGTTTCTACAATCGCACGTACCACCGTTACCACCACCACCACCATCCCCACAACAAACACTACCATCGTCTGCTGGATTTCCGTTAGCAACTCTCCAAATTTACAATGCACCAATACCTCCTGTTTTTGACAGGCCACCTTTACCGCAACCACCAACGCCTTCGGATATTTACAACAAACTGAAGCCACAAGTCAAAGACAAGAATTGTAATCCGTGTAACAAAGTTCCTTGGTTGCCTATGAATTATCAAGAAACTTATCTTCCGCCTCATAATCAAGGATTAGTTGCTGCCGCATCTCAGGAAGTTAAAGTACCGGATTTCTTTTACGCACCGCCATTATTGCCCGAACACAATGGGCAACATTCATCGGTCGGGCCATTACCTAATCCACATTTGTATCCAGGACCTATGCCTCCTCTGTTCAAAGCAGAATTATTCGATTATAATTCCCAATCGAATTATCCCGTTAATGGAAATTTACAACATCACGAAATACCCGCCGTATCGGGTGTTCTCGAAAGTAGTTCATCATTACCATTAATACCGATCTATCAATCGAATAATTCCGGTGATAGGAATTTAGGTATTCCACAAGAAGGGCAAACCATTTTTGAAAGTCATCAAGTGTCCGATTCGAGATTAAGTCAAACTGATTTTGTTAATCAAGGATACAGTCATTCGAATTCTCAAACCGCTAATGGAGTTCAGATAGATTCATTTTCCAGTGCTTCTCACGAGAATCAACAAGGATCCATAGCTTATCCAAACCACAATCAAGAAAATGATGGCACGGTGATTAAACAACATTTCGATGCGGCTGGAATAAATCAATTTTCTGAGCCTAACGTTTCTGGAAATTTCGAACAGACGAATTTTGGGAATAATCAACAATTCGTTGATACTTCCGGATTGGATTTCCAAAGGACAGATCAAACTATTTCACCGTCTGCTATTGGAAACGATCCGTCTTACGGTTTTGGAAATACGGGATCGGGACAGCAAACTTACAATGGTGATATTATTTCGTCTAATATCGGTACGGTGGAAGATTCTCATGCATCGAGTACCGGTGGTTTTTCAAACGTACAAAATCCAATATATTTCGAACAATCCCCATTGACCGATTTGACAAAAACGAGCGAAAGTCGTACGGATTCTCCCTCGATATCATCATCATTATCATCTTCTTCTAATTTCATTGATATCGATGAAAAATTAAATACTCAGACACCTTCTTATTACGAATCAAGTTCGAATTCATTCCAAATACAAGAGAAAATTAATCGATTAGCGTTATTGGATAACAGTAATACTAGTTATCCAAATTATTCAACTGAAAGTACCGTAATCAGAGATTTGTTTGGAATTAATCAAATTAATGAACAAAAGTGGACGAATAATAAAGTTTTAACTAATAAAGCTTTGCAAAATTTGGATACTTCGTTAGTCGCACCGCAAGCACAGTCAATCGCCGATTCTTGGTTAGTCGTTTTGTCGACGACTATGAGAACGATACAGGATGAAACTTCGTTAGATAATTTAGGAAATAACAATGATGCGAACGGACAAAATCATAGTTTACAACAATACGGGGGAAATAAGAGAAATAAACAGGTAAAATGAAAATGCTTTGTTATTTATTTGAATGTAATCGTTGAATTAGATCAAAATTAATATGATTTTTAATTGGGTATTATAGGTACAGGTAATAATTCCATATACATCGCAATATACACCATTACCTTTCCATTCATCTTACGATAATAAAGATAACGTTGAACGAACACAATCACGGACAATATCATTTGACGATATATCGAATCGTGACAGTTATGTCAGTCAAGAATCTAGAAATGAGAACAAGGTGATGAGTATTCCAGAAACTGCGACAATATCCGGTGATTTTGATACTTTAAACGATTATACAAAGAAAGTGGAAACAACGACGGTACCGGTTTCTAATGTTATTACAAAAAAGGTTAATAATTCGATAGACGTTCATAGATTACAAAAGAATATCGACAATTGGACTATACAGGTATGGGAAAATATTTTCGTCGTCGCATTTATTTCTAAAAAAAAAAAAAAAAGAAAAGAAGAAAACATTTCTATCAATTATTTTCCTTCGATTAGGAATATTCGCGGGGAACAACGTTTAGCACGATATTACCTAGTTTCTCTCGTCCTTATTTGCAACCGTCGAAAAAAATACCCAACGAGTATTTCACGACAACGGAATCCGGTGAACACGCGAAAGATCGCGAAGAAAGTGTCAAATCTTTTGCATTGGCTGGATTTAGTTTTAACGATATCGAAGATGAGGGACCTAACTCGGTCGAGGAAACTAGAATACAGGTGACGATATTATTGATTTATTATTATACCGTTGAAAGAAAATAAGTAAGATAAATTATCTAATTATTAATAAACCGTTTATGAAAGATAATGTTTTTATTCGCTTAGACTGTACGCGCTGATAATCCAACGATCAGAAACGAATCGAATACGTTTAATGTAAACGAAGATAAATCGAGATCTAACGAGACTACGAGTAAGTCAGAAAATTCTTGGAAAGATTTTCCAGTATCGATATCAACGATCGATAAGGAACGAGTATACGTCGTGACACCTCAGACAACTGCGACGATTGCAACGAAACATCGCGTGGAAGATAATAATAAATCGAGCATAAATAGTTCACAGAAGAGAGATGATAATAATAATAATAACGAAGTTAATACGAATAACGTCAAGAACAAACAGGATGAATTCGAAAAGATAGAACGTGCCTATCAAGTATTACCGCAAGCTGTAAATAATTTAGCAGTTGCTTCGACGGGTCCTGAAACCCTTCCTTTATGGGGTATAATGGAACACGAAGAGTTTGCTTCGTTGATACATAATTCTGATGATAACAACGACGATGAATCAATTGTGGCGCCTATCCTTTATGCAGGACATTCCAAGGTATTTTTATTTTTTTATTTTTATATTTTTTATATTTGATTATATTAACGATTACTTGATTCATCTCAAACGATTTTATGCGTTAATATTAATCGTGCGATATATTAATTATTATTATTATTATTATTATTATTATTATTATTTTAGGTTTCACGTGCTAGACGATGACTAGAGAAATAATTTTTGATTAAAAAGAAGTAAAGACTCTTTGTGCTTTTGTGTTTTATCGCTGATATAATTTGTGCAACGTATTATAGATAAGTAATATTTGCACGATCGTCGAGAAGCGTCCTTAATTATCAAAACTTTCCGTTCGATGCGAACATGATCAAGAAAATGATGACGACGAAGAAGAAGAAGAAGAAGAAGTCGGTCAGGTGGTAAGTCAAGGAATACGGACAAACCACAATTTCTCTCGTAGGCGAGATATTTAATTTAAATATACATCGACAAGTAAATAATTAAATTTAAGATTAGTATTAAACTCGAATGTGTGATTGATAGCGAATGATGATGATGATGATGATGATGATAATAATGATGATGATGATTTGAGAATACCAAACACGTAGTGTTTTGTTATTTTCTTTATCAGCCAATATACGGTAACGTAATATTAATTAGTTATTTATCTCGAATATGTATAAAATATTTAATGCCAGACTTGCGACCAATAATAGTAAAGCGTTTTAATTTCTTCGTTCAATATTTATACGTCACGACGTAACGTTACATCTATTTCATTCGTCTTGTCGGTTAGAAATTTTCTTTTCTCTCAGGGTCATTGCAAATATTTTTTCTCGTAATAAAATCATTCACACGATTTTCATACATTTTTATATTACATCGTTATAATATATTTTCTTTTATTATTTTTTACTTACACAAGATTATTTCTATATATATATATATATATTTAATCTCGAACAAATAATATACAATACGCATAAAATATTCGAGAAGAAGAAACTCGACAATTGTGATTTCTTTCTTCATTGATCTTATGCCACGCTGTTTTCTATTCGCGAATGCGCGACTTGTTTACTGAAAAACGATTGAGTTTTACTTTGGTGAAGAAGTCACTTTCGCCGATTTCGAAAATCTGGACGCTAGCCAAAAAGGTGATATCCAGGTGATATTGTAACTAAACGTATCAGTCTGTTGCGTGCAACGCATAAATGCATATCATAATAATTGACTTGACATCGGTCTTACTGAATTCTATGGTGAAAGGAGAAATTACAGTATCCGGACATATTTGGAACGCATGAACACATGTCCGTGCGTGATTTTACTACCACATTGGACAAATTAGAAGCTACCAGCTGGGTCAGTATGAACATTTATTTTAAACGTGCAATTTATTAATGACTCATTACTAAATATATTATCGTTATATACATAGTAATTTAATTTAATTATACAATGGTGAACGATTATTTCAGGATTACCGTTGATATTTTGAGCAAAAGACTTTCACATTTTTTGTATGAATAAAAATTTACTATTTTTCTTCCTTTTTTTATTAGAATTTCGAGAAATTTTACTAAAGTAGAATGAACGAATTGATCATATTCGTGTCAAAAATTAAAATTACATAATTTTCTCTTTTAAATTTTAGTTATATGATCTTGTCGTATTTAAATGGAAGGAAAAGTATTTTTCTATTTTTCCACGGTGTTTCAACCTTCTTTTTTTTTTCTCTTTTTTTTCATACTTCTAATAAATAAAATCACACGTTTGCTGTCTCCCTTTGCACGTGAGAACTCTCGTTACGAATGAAACGTGGGAATAAAGGAACCATTGTTCTTACGTGGCATCTCATTTCTTCGTCTTGTGCTTGTAATTAGATCCATTTCTTTTAGTAAAATGGGGAATATAAACAAGGACACGATTTTAATTAAGGTCATCATTCCTGCATCGTATTTTATTTTCATTTTGAAAAATGACACAAATAGAAATCAAGAAAATCTCATTCGAAGTATTTATTATCTCTCGATGGTTATAAATTAAAATTTGATTATATCATTTATTTACAATACGAATAGGAACGTGATCAAATGTATAATATAAATATGATTAGTCTTTAATTGTGTTTTTATTTTTTGTTTGTCAAGTCTTTTCCTTGTTTAAATCTTGTTGCAATTTTTTCGATCCAAGTTTAGTTCTTCGTAAAATGATCAGTTCCGTTAGCCATATAGTGACGGTCAGGGCCGACATACTATTAATTATTATGATACAGGGTGTGTAAGTTCCCACTGCGTCTCTAATTACACCTATGGTACAAAGAATATTCACCCAAACGTTGTTTTACGCTTTCTACTTAATCGTGATAGGAAAAATAATAATAATAATAAAAGAACTATTTTCTTGACAAAAATATTGAACGAACGTAAAAGAAATAACGAAAATAACAAAAATATATATATATAAAATTGTACCTAAAATTGGTCCAGCACTTAACATGATTAATCCATTTACCGTCATCTGTATAGCAGAAGCATAATGTAGATTTTTAATTGGTACATAAGTTGGTATTATAAGTGTCATATAAACTGATCTAATTCCTTTCGCAATTCCCAAACCAACGGCAACAATAATTACTTCTGTAAGGGTTTGCGTAAATATTAAACCTGTGTTAAAATAAAAAACAGATTAAAAAAAGGAATAAACATGAAGAATTAAAATGTTGAATAGAGAGATCTGTTGTACGAAATAATAAGATGTAAGTTTTCGTTTTTTTTTATACGATATTAGATTGTTAAGAAAAAATTCTTACCTGTTCTGCTAATGATAAGAAATATCAAACTGATGGAGTACATTGGTCTTGGTGTTAAATTTAACCATTCTCCGATATACGGAGCAATACTTCGAAAAACAAGATCGGCGGAAGCAATGACGCTCATTGTAATTGCTATTTGATTTGTTGTTAAATTTCTGTCAGCCAAAATGAACGGTGTCAATAAAGAAAAATTGATTTCCGCGAATATGGCTATTGACATGCCCAACATTATATTGACATATATACCGTCACGTAAAATATCGAGACCGTAAAAGGCCACTATACGTTTTAGAATTCTCATAAATATAGATTTTTGTTTCGATCTATTGGTATACAACATATAATATTAATTAGCATTTGAAACAAATTTAAACGATATAATAAATACATTTTTTACAAGGATCTTTTTCATAATATTTGACTTACATTTCACAAATATCGTCGTTTTGATTTTCCACTTTTGTTTCATCGTTTTCCGGTATACTTTGACAACTTTTCGCTTTAGATATTTTACTCGTACTACTGAAGCTCTTATTTTTTCGCAGAGGTTGGTAAACCGATTCCTCGTTGAAAATTTGTAAACTACTACTAAGGTTGATACTGTTTACGCTTTTATCTGAAAGAAAATGTTCATATATTATATATATATATATATATATATATAGATAATTGTAGATTTTTCATTTAAGACAAATAATGAAATTTACTTGAATTCCACCAATAATGATTTGGCTGGAAAAGTGTTTTATTATTTAATTCGTTATTATTAATCCATGACCAACCATCTAGACTCATCTCTCGTGAAATGGCTAACATAAAAATAAAAAATGTTTAAGTAATATTTTAATAACTCTCGAGTTAAATGAATAAGGGTAAAATAATTTGGTTTTACAAACTTCTCGCAGTTTCCGAAATTTGTCGGGACAATGGAGTTTCGAAACCATAGATGCTAACACCTTCAACATCGTGATTGATACTCGATACGGTTAATCTTCTATGCCTTTGATTTTCTTCCATTAATGGTGCATCGTGAAAACTATCATCGTCTTCGGAAACTTCGTTTGGTTTATCTGTATCTAATAAAAATAATAGTCAAATTTAAAAAAATAAAAAAATAAAAAGAAACAAATATTTATTATTACAATTTGTACAATCTTTAGAAATGAATTGATTGTAAATAAAAAAAAACAAACGAATAATTACCAACATGCGATTCCTTTTCTATGATTTCAATAATATGTTTATCATTATCTTCAACGCTTGGTATTTTTTTCATATGCCATTTTATTGGATGTAACATTAACGAGGCTAATATCGAGTGCAGTGAGTAAGAACCCAATATCAATAGAGTACCCTGTTTTAAAAATCGTATAATACGTATTATGAATATAAACATTGGTTATTGTCATTATAAGAATAATTCTTGAAAAAACATACTGACCTAAATTGATAAGTGTCATGTGGTAAAATTTATGAAGTTGTATGATTATGCATGAATGTTAGCTAAGAGAAACGAGGACACCATATCGTATTATTTAAAATACTCTAATTAAATGACTAGTTATGGAAAATATTTTCAATAAATAATTCGATAAAGAAAATCAAAAATGTCATCGATATTCTAAAATACTATTCACGAATAAACAATAGTTATCTAAAATACTATTCACGAATAAACAATAAAGATAAAGTTATTGAACATTAAATCGATCTATTAAAAGTTTTTGAACTACCTGAGGACCGTAATTATCGAGCAAGATAGTAGTAACGTGTGGCATAAAGATTGAACCTAATCCCATCATGGTAATCGCCCAGCCAGTTGCACGTCCTCTTTTTGTTGTGAAATAACTATTAAGTGCTAGAGAAAAGCTTGATCCTGCAATTGTCAGTCCGACAGCTTAAAATTGAAAAAAGAAGTCAACGATTATGAGGAATTTGTTTTTGAGGATGTATACAAAAGAAAATAAAAAGAATAATAATAATAAATTACTTACATGCTATTAAACCATAAGTGATTATGATAAGAGTAACTGTTCTTGAAAATGCTGTAAACGTTATACCGAAAAAATATAATAGCGAACCAACGATTGCCATTTTCCTATATCCAAAATGTTGCAGTAGTGGACCATTGATTAAACCTAATATCATGCCAAAAGCCATGTTGACGCTAATGATAGTACTACCTTGTGTACTGTTAATATTTAACAATGGAAATAAATCTTTGAACACTAAACCAGAACCTTGTACTACAGGTATCATGACAAACTACAAAAAATATCTTAAATATAATTTAACATAATGATTACAAATTTTGAAATAAATGATCATTTATTTAAACTTACACTGTTAAGTGCGTAAGACATGACGATTATCCATCCCCATCCTCCATCCGGTGGTACAAGTTTACTCATTTTTATTAATGATTTCAACTTTTTAACTTTCTTTAAATGAAGATTAAGCAATAATCCATCCTCAGTTAAAAAATCAATCACGTTTTTTTCCACCCACGTGTTTTTATATTATATCTTTATTTATTTCGATCAAAATCTTTTTCTAATTTACAATCGATCGTATTTTACTTTCTCTTTTATTTTTCCCTCAATTTTATTGTTTCTCATTCTTTAAAACTTTTCATCTCTTTTATACAATTGTCTTTCACGTTAACGTAATGGAAAAAAAATGATTTATAACTAATAATACCGATCTATCTCGTGCATCGTTTTGCAACTATGTGTAATAAACTTCGCTGATAGAATGATCAATAATATTTCAGTTGGTGTTATACGATAAGTACGGACTTAATCTAATCTCGATACAAAATACGTACCGTCACTCTCGATGGATTATCGATAAAAGACCTCGGGAATAATGCTAGAGAAAAGAGAAGAACAATGATAGCAAAATAATAATCATTAACAACATACTAGTCGTTTAGTATGTAAAACATGCAACATTTGTTTCCGAGTATAATGAATCAATGCATTAAAACGTGAATGAAGAAAAACAAACCTGTTTATATTCTTCAGTAAATGCGTACGTTGCATCGTGTGCGTATTATTGTTCTACGATTATACTAATAAAGTGTCAAATATATGACGTGATGTTTTTTCATTATAAAATAATGTATATATTTAGATAAAAATTCGTTAATAAAAATTTCGAATTCATTTTATGACTAATGTTAATAAATATATTAGTTAATTGTGCGCACGAAAACATTCAAACATTATAGTAGAAAAGAGAATAATTTGTTATGATTTTTATCCAATCGATAACAGATTCTAAGATAAGGTAAATTATATTACTAATCGTCTGTTAAAGTTCCGTTGCAACAGGTAATCTAGATAATGACACGTGAAACGGTATCATCAGAACTATGATGATCCGTCAAGATCCCTTTTCAAGGCTGATTAGTATAAAAATTGATACGTAGGAAATGTTATACACGACATTAATATTATTTGAAAATTGTTGATGTACAAATGAGAATTATATATTTATACGATTGATACAATAATGAAAACTGATTTATAAAAAATAATTAAAATATTTTCATTTTATTAGAAAAAGAAAAAAATGATTACAATTTAATGCAGATAATTCATAAAAAATTTGTTACTACTAGTAGTATCATCGAAAATAAAGAAACAATTTGCAATACTTCCAGCTGTAATACTGGCTCATAAAACGCATACTTCGTCAACATTCAATGAATACTATTATATTATATAATACTTATAACATTACGTAGAATTCTTTTTTTTTTAAGTTACACAATTTTCTAATATTACAAAATGTATAATACATTAAAATATACATATTCGCGATGATAACGTGATTAACAAACAAGAAAAAAATGTTATGAACGATACGATCATATCTAAAACAATTCTTTAATTTATAAAAACAAACGTATCATTAAACTTCATTACTTTCGTTCTGATCTTCCGATGAATATTTCTCATTAGCTTTTTCTCCGTTTGTTTTTATTTTAATATGATTACCAAGAGGTGACCAAAGTCCTCCCAATAGCCACAAAAATACGCAAGACATGCTCATTCCTGAAGTGAAGTGCAACGAACCGATATAACTTCCAGTTAAATCATGCACCATACCTGGAAATATTGTATTAAGTAAATAATACTAATATTAATTGTATTTAAAAAAATATGTATAATATATATATGATTGTTAAATATTTACCTATAATCGGTCCTAAACTGATAGATAAAATGCCATTAAAAACCATTTGAATACCACATGCTGCTGGTAATCGTTCCAATGGAACATAATCTGGGATGATCAAAGATTGAAATACAGCTTTTGTACCTTTTGCTATTCCTACGATAATAGCTACTACGATTACGGTGGGATAATTATCACCCCAACCACACAGAACTGTAAGAAACAAAAAAAGAAACAATGATAAGACATTGAATTTACTTTAAAAACGAACGAACGAACAAACGAACAAAAAGAACATTTATTTTAATTATTATATGATTTAATGTTCTAATGTAATATAATTATGACTAATTTGATAAGACGAGATCGTTGGTGGTTGAATAAAATAACAAAAAAAAAAGAAAAAGAAAAAGAAATCGATAGACAAAACAATCGAACGAGCGCGGATTTTAATTCCGACAATCGTTTTGTCTCTTATGTATTTGTAAAAAAAATTTCTTGTGGATATAATTTAAATCAACCCACCACGAGAAAAGAAACCGTCTGGACTTTTTATTTATTTTTTTTCTCAGCACGAGTTCTCCTTTTTCCTATCTCTCATTTCCAAATATTTTACGTTGATTTTACGTACTCGTCCTTCCTAAAGTGGATCCTATCAAGGATATCACGTAAAGATATCTCGGTGTCCAGTGGGCTTTTTGTGCGAGCAAAGGAACACAAAGACGTCCTAATATATCAAAGGCAGCTTGGATAGACATTATAGTAGCAATCTCATTTATTTTTAATTCTGAAACTTTCTCGAGGACAAATGGTATCAATGCATTGAAGTTCGTCTCGGCTACCAAGGATACTCCCATACCTATTTGTTTTTCAATGAGATAAGAAATAATTTTTCTTTCTTATTCTTAATTATTTCAAATTTAATAATAGGGAATAGATAAGAAATGTTTTGACTTACCTATAATTACAAAAATATAACGCAGATCTTTTAAAAGTTTGAGATCCAAATTTGTCGAGATCTTATAAAGAAAGTTACGTTTTTTATAAGTCGTTTTAACATTTTCGTGATTAATTTTCAAATTTTTGTCTTCTTCTTCTTCTTCTTCTTCTTCTCCTTCTACTTTTGCTATTTGTTCTCGATCGTTTAATAATCGACACTCGGTTACATGGTTTCCAACGTCCCTTTTATTTTTCATTGCCACTTTTGTATTTTCATTTTTCACATTGTTCTCGGTAATAATCGAATCCTGTCGAAATAATGTTAAACATTATATTCATGTTGAGCACAGGTATCGTTTAAATAAAACTTTGATATTTTAATTAACATAAACCATATATAATATTATATCAAAACGAAGTGATTGTGAACGATCATTGATACGTAAAATTACCTTAGCGTTTATTTGATTATTATTTACGAAAGATTTTAATAAACAAGAACCGATGAAAGAATTGGCAGCTATTCCAGTGAATATTATTAAAGTTCCTGTGGTACCGTATTCGTTTAATAATTTCACTATAAAAAGTGGCATTACAATGGGGCCAAGGCCGGTCAAGGTAACGCAAAGTCCCATTGCTATGTTACGTTTTTTTCTAAAATATGTATTAAGTGCTAAACTCGTACCAAGAAAGATGATACCTTGCCCTGTACCTAATTCAAAAAGTAATATAATATAGAAAACATTATTTATAAATACAAATATCATAATTAAAATAATATAAATACCATAATTATATATCATATAGATCTTATTAAAAAAAAAAAAACCAAGAAATAAAATTATATTTAATTTAATTACCTATAATAACGCAATATCCTATAATGATGGCAGGAAGAGTTATGGCAAATGCAGTGGTGCATACTCCAATAGCTACCATAAGGCACCCAAAAAAAGTGACTTTTCGGAATGAAAATTTTTTCATCATGGGCCCACTTATCAAACCAAGGCTACAGGATATCGTACTATTTAAATGAAGTATTAAGGATGTTTGCGTAGCAGTAATACCGAGATTCGTAAAACGTTCTCCAAAGATAAGACCGTAACATTGTTGAATCGGAAGTACAGAAAGCTGTAAAATCAAACGAACAAATTATAGTCGTAATCTTGAAAATCACTTTTTATCGTTACTTCCTATTTACTCTTTGTTTTTTTCCTCTTTTTCTTTTTTTTCTATAAATTATAATAGAACACTTTGTTAAGATTTACGAATCTAGATATCATATCACTTAACACAAGATACAAATATTTACTTATTTTTTGCGTCGTATTTATGTAGGATCATTTATTATTGTTTTTTTTTCTCTCTCATTCTAGAACTTGTTTATTTCTTTATGGGAAAAAAAGAAAAAAAAAAAGGAAGAAGAAAATAACAATCCGATTATCCAAACGAAAATTGTTTACTCAAATTAATTTAAATAATCGATGCTATGCACTCCATTGTATAATATAAAATAGTTGAAATAAAAATAAAATAAAATAAAAATAGGAGGGATAGATTGAAACTTACGTTGATAATAGTTACACCTAGAACGATCATCCAAGCCCAACCTTTGTCAGCCTCGCAACGAGCCATGATATTAATAATTTATATCAGTCTTTAAAATTGTTTTCAATGGAAACAAAAAAAATTCGTTTCCTATCGTTCCTCTTTGAAGGCTCGTCTTCGAGTAGTCTAGAGACTGTAGAAAATTGATTAGTAGTAGTATATAATTCGGGATGTAACGAACGATAAGATAAACGATGACTCTCTTTTTGCTGATAGGATGTTCGAAAGATAGAATAAGAGAGATAGAAGAAAATAAAGAGAAAGAAATAGTGAGACACAAAGAAAGAAATAAAAGAAAGAAAGAAAAATAAGTAATGATAAGTCTATTTTCTCTTTTTAAAAATACTACTCTACTCTTACCTATTTTTAAAGGTCCAAATTATAATACGTATTCTAGATAAAAAAAAAGTTTTATCTAACGTAATATTAAAGTTGGAATAATTTACTATAGAAGTAAATATAATGGCAATTTTTGTAAAATATAAGGGCAAATTTTGAATCATACTTTGTCATAGAATAAATAAAAGAAAGTTTAGTTGATCTCTGGTATTATAGTTAGTAATTGATCGTTTTACCGTGGATGGATCATAGCGATTAAAAGATGTGTTTAATAAAAGAAAAATAAATACTTTCGTTTACTATTACTTATCGGATAAATAATGTAATTTTTGTTGTTTAGATATATGTTAAAATAATACTATGTTACTAAAAGTAACATTTTTGAAAATCTTTGATATGCAATAAAAATAACATATACTTTTGTTTATTACGGATAAGAAGAAAAAGAAGAAGAAGAAAAAAAGGTACAATTATAGCATAGTACTCAAATGGCAAAGTGTTGATATTACTACATAGTAGTTGATAGCACTTCAACGTTAGATAACCCGAGTAGAAATAAGACGAAGCACACATCTTTAATGGATACTTTAATCGGCTAAATTGCTACTACTATTCGTGTATACTTATGCTATATTATTCGATCTAGTTTTTGTAAATGACAGTTAATAGTCCTATCGTTTCATTGTCAACTGAAAACTCGACAAATTTTTTATCCACCTAATGCGTTTGACATGTTTAATTAATAATTTAGATTAATATAAAAAAACTTACAAGATAACGTTACTCATAATTATATATACATACATATACGTATATATATATTTTTTTGATTGTTTATTCACATTACACATTACAACACGAAAATAAGTAATTTATTATTATTAACAAAATGAATCCTTAGAATCGATCGATCGAGTGGTTTCATTTTCTGTTTATTTGCTACTCGAAATTATCATATTATCTTAGATTATCATTAATCGTTATTTCAATATGTTTGAACGTTAACGTAACGAAAGTATTGAATATTTATGAGAACGATTTATTTTAACGCGAATTCTTCAGCTTGTTATAAATAACATAAGAGGACTCTTATCCATTTTTGTTCATCTTCGTTTTGTTATTAGTAAAGCAATTAACATATCTTTCCTCGTATTTATTCAGGTTTTTTACTCTAGCATTATTTAAGTAACGCATAGACAAATAATAATAATAATAATAATAATTAGGATTTAAACGTTTCGTAGAAAATTCGATTGGAGAATAGTCGTGTGGTTTAAACGATACTATTTAAATTAATTATATCGAGGAAAAAAAAGCAAGAAATATCGAAAGACCGATTGGATTAATTGGAAATTGAGAATGTCGTCGATAGTATTATTTTTCGATTTAGTAATATTTCTACGTTTATATAGAATCACATGGATAAAATAAACATATGATCACTGTATACGATATATATATATATGTATATATGCGTTTCAACGCGAACTGCGATCTTTCTTAGACTGATTCTTGGTGAGTTAGTCAACGACGACGAGAGGAAGGTTTGAAACCGGCTTCGTAAAGTAGATCCCAGAGTGTGCTGCTTATTTCTTATTCGTATACTTCGTTTTATATTATACGTGTATATATTCGCACACGTATAAAACTTGTATATATGTATATCTACCTACGTGAGTTAGAACGTGTAAGCCGGTTTATGCTCGAAACGACTCCTTCAGTCTTATTACCAAACCGATTTAAACATTTCTTCTTTATCGATCGATCGATCACGATCGATTGTTTAATTCAACGAACATTTCAAATCGTTTTGACGAACTAATGATATTTGATTAGTAAATATTTACAGTTCATCATTTCAGAAACATCTGTTGTAACACACGATAAAGATAAATCGCGTGTTATAAAAGTATTCGTTTATAAGAAATATAATAGATTTATTTAATATGACGAATATGTTAACGAAACATTCGATCGTTTAATTTATTTAAAATAATATTTCGAAGTAGTATAATAATAATTAAAATTATTATATTAAAGAGAGAGAGACAATTTGATGAGAATTGATTGCGTTTAATTAATTTTGTTAAAATGAATGTTAGATAATTAAAATCGTAACAAATATTTGTATTTATTCGTTATTATTGTTATTATAAATAGATCGACTGACCGTTTTATAGGAATTTTTTCAACAACGATACGAAGAGATCGTAACGACGATAATAGATCTCTGATGTAATGTTAAATTAGCGTTAAGACATAATACGTTTAAACTCTTCTTAGAATTCGTAATTGTGCATCATTATAACATTGAGAGGAATAGTAATCGGATAATCTAACGCCATTCTTGATTTCTCATTAGCATACGCCTAATCTCATTGGTACTGATATCTACTGAAATATGAATAATTTCCATTCATATTTTCGTTATTAATATAAAACAAATATAAATAAATCTAAATATTATAACGATATAGGATTTGAGTTTATGGAATAAATAGGAGATAAAATAATTCAAATCCGAGATATGTTTTAATTGTATATTTCTAACGTATTGATATAACGTAATAAACTATAATAATTAAAAATAGCGTATATAAATTAAAAATATATTATATATCGCAAATTAAAACTTGATTGTTAATACTTGAATTATTGTGAAAAAAAAAAAAAATAATAATTCGTCATTAGTTATTAAATTAAATAACATCTCCGTTATTCTATCGTACTTTTTTGCGTTTCTTCAATAAATTCCGGTTTCCTTTTACGTATGCCGAAATATGAAAATTCGATAGTCCACGAGACAAAAGTCAGAATGATTAGACTGGTCATAACGTGAATGCATATTCTATAACTCTGGGTATAATCTCGTATGTATCCTGTATTAATGTAAAAGTATTTACCTCGAAATAATTTATAATAAATGTGATAAAATTTATTGAAAAAATATTAATTAAAAATAATATCTTTAAAAACAACTTACCGATAAGTGGACTCATAGCAACAACGAAGATACCCTTACAGACCATAAATATTCCAAATGCACTTGGTAATTTTTTCAGTGAACAACACTCGGAGATACTGAGATTCAAATTGACCAAAGTAGCTCCACGCAAAAATCCTATTATTACGAATATCACGATCAGGGTTGTTCCTTTCGTACGTTCAGCGAGTACTGAAAAAAAAAAAACTATATATATTAGGATGTGAACCAATATATTCGTGCGTTTTATTGTGTTATAAATTCTGTTATAAATTGCATAATTAGTTTTCATAAAATTGACTTTGGAAATGTTAATGTAAAAAAAAAAAGAAATAAATAAAAAGCTTACCGGAACGTCCGAAACCAACCATAATAGAACAAATCCAAAATATCGATCTCTTCTTCAATCCTAGTTTATCGAATATAGTTGGTAACGTCAAACGGGCTAGGATGTCCGTAAAGGCAGTGATGGATAAACAAAAAGCGACTTCCGCCTTGGTCATTCCTATCGATCGTCAAGTATCTCGAGGAGTCTAGCTAAATTCTAAGTAGTGCCGTAGCGAGGTTAGATGGTCGATTTTGATCCTTCATATATAAATTAGTTAATGAACTATTTGATTTTTTTTCTTTTTTTTTTTTTTTTCTTCGCGATCAAGTGTCGTTAAAAAAAGAAAATATAAAAATATCCATGAAATATTAATTTTAATTTGTTTTTCTTATTTATTTTATTTTATTCTCTGTCTGTCTCTCTCTCTCTCTCTCTCTCTCTCTGTCTCTCTCTGTACGCTCGCGCACGTGTGTAAGTTTTTATCTTTGATTTCTTTGGTTTCATTTATACCAAAATTTAAAAAATCAACGTTCATTTATTCAAGATGAAAAGGAAAAAGAAAAAAAAGTAAATCTTACGAGATCGATACGGACCACCGAGAGTTCCTTGCTACGATACGTACTCGTGAATTTTCTTGCCAGTCGATACTAACCGATGCTCGAGAGGAAAAATGGAGTCATCAGCTTGAAATTTGATTCTGCCACGTAATAAAGGCTAGTGCCAACAACTACGTTCAGATATACGGTGTCTTTCAATAAATCCAAGTCAAATGTTTTCATTATTTTATCGAAGAACGTCGTCGTTGTTTTTTTTTTGTTATCCTCATCCTCGATTTCGATAATCTTCGAATCGGCCACCCTTGTTTCGCTTCTTCTTCTACCATCCCCATTGTCGTGACTCGTACCGTTAGTTACTTTACGCAAAGAAGTTGAAGTTTTTTGCAACAGGGCATCCTTCTCCTTAGGTTCGGTTGTTTTCTAAAGAAATTCGTCGATAATTGATAAGCCATTACTACTCCGTTGTTCGTATTTACCAATCACGTTTTACGAAATATATCGAAAAGACGTTGTATTTTTTTTTTTTAATAATAGTTTATAACGATTTTTATAAATGAATAATGAACTTATTTTTACGTTACTTTGGGTATCGAAGTTTCTTTTTGTTTAGTTTCCAGAGATCTCAAAAGACATGCACCGACTACCGAATGAAGTGCCCAAGCACTTATAATCATCATAGTTCCACAAAAACCGTAAGATTTTAATAATACGTGAATGAGCTGTGAACACAAAAATATAAAATAAAATGATTTACCTAGAATAGAATTAGGTTCGGAAAAATGGAGAAAAAAAATTATTTTTTGTATGATTCACATTTGATACTATAATTATTTATATTAGAAATGAAATAATAATCAATGTTTACGAATTATTATATGATATTGATTTTGTCGTGTAATTATATATTGCATTTATGTGGATTAGTAATTATTATACACGAATCATTTTACGAACCTGCGGTACCAACATCATTGCCAAGGTTGTTCCAGCCATTGAGAAACCAACTGCTTGTCCGCGTTTCTTGTCGAAGAAAGTATTCAAGGCTACGAACGCGGATGCAATTGCGATTCCTGTACCAAAGCCTATAAGTAAACCGATAAATTGCTATTATAAATAACATTACTATTCTACATATATATCGTAGATAATATAGAAATGATTTCAAATTTAACGAACAGGTTTGATTTAATTTTTGTAATGAGTTAACAAACATGTGACTCGTGTTAATCGAAAAAAATATCGCGTCGAAAATCATTCGTTATTAATATCGATTGAAAAGTTAACAATAAACAATCGTTATTGTTACTTGATATAAATGTTAACGATAAAATAATAATTTACCTCCTAAAATGCTATAAGTACATATCAAATAAGGCATGCTGTTTGCTCTGGATGTCAACATAAGACCGGTGCAACTTAAAAGGGAACCAAAAAATGCAACCTTTCTGTAAGAATATTTTTTCAACAATGGTCCAACGAATAGACCTGTAAAAAAAAAATAAACGGTGCGAGAATCAGTTTCACTTTTTATAGGATTTTTCGATAATCAAATTGAAGAAGATCAGTTCATTTGATCAGTTCAATTTAAATATCAAAATAATTAATACGCGTATTAATTGTTATAAGAAAATTGTAAAGAAGAAAAAAACAAACAGTCAATTGATAATTACCTGAAAAATTAACAATAGCGTCAAGCACGCTCATTATCACTGACGTTCCGGTAGACTCGATATTGAGTTCCTCTAAAAGATCTTGGAAGAGAAGACCAAAAGATGGATCCAGAGACCTCAACGAAAGCTAATCGTATATAATTAAATTAACACTTTCTTTATGAATGACGTTAAAAATTGTATATTGTTTGCTTTTTTGCGAATGACTTCGTATCACGTTAAAATGATTATTGTTTCGTATTACGAAAAATAAATTGGGAAAAGTTACGATTACTTTAGATATAATTTAACATTTGTATTAAAAAAATATCGATATAATTTTTATCGAAACATTGACGCCGATATCTAAAATATATTATATATAATATAATAACAACGATATATGACGTAGGTTCGCAGGTAAAGTGATAGATAAAGAAGCGACAAAAATGTATATATATATATATATATATATATATATATGTTATTAAAAATAGAAGATTTCTATCTTTCGTAGAAGTTATGAAATATATAAATTAAATCTCTTTCAGACTTCACGTTTTTGTAATTGTAAGAATATAATAGATATTATCTTATAATAATTTGCGTCAACTTAGAGAATGACGTAACGATAGGAATTAAATTTATTTATAAAACAAAAAGAGAATTTAATTAAATGTACAAGTTAATGACAGGACAATAGTTATAGTATTTAAATATACAATCACGGGATGTTCGTAAAAATGAAGTTTTTAAAATAAAACAAAAAAAATGTGTTAACTTACCGAAATTAAACTGCTTCCTAAACAAACGAACCACCCCCAACCACCATCTGGCGCTTTCTTTTTCGTTTCATCGCGTGATGCGTTCTTCATTTTAATAAATTACGAGAAGAGATCACTTAATTGCACACCTTCGATTCTTGACTACGATTTGAACTGATGTGAAATTGAATGGGCACGTGTTACGATTGAAGAACTTAGGTATGGTGGGATGATTTCTGCTTTTGATCACATGATCGAATGAAAACCAGTCATTACTAATGATAACTATCACTTTATTCAACGATCACACTGATTGTTAGATATACCTAATCTATTTTTTCTCACTTTTTTTATCGATACTTATTTCTTTTCTTGTTTTATTTTTTTCAAAGTACGATTATAATGTAATATCGACGTAACTCACAACTTCGTTCGTTCGTTCGTTCGTTCGTTCGTTCGTTCGTTCGTTCGTTCGTCCAACTGATCGTCCATTTGTTCGTTCACACTTTTGCTCGCTGATTCATTTGACTTATCGTTTTTTTTTATCTCTATTTAGCAGCATATATCACATAATGGAAAAGATAATTCGTTAAAACATTGACTCGATACGTTGAGTAACGAAAATTTACTCAACCGTAAATGTTTTATTATAAAAACAAATATTAACAATGTAGTTTGCCAAATCGATAATCATGCGAGAAAAAGTTATCCCCAACTATTGCGATAATCACTATGTTTTTATCAATCTTTTTAATCGATAAATTTAAGATTATTGCAATAAATAACACTTTTATACCCAAATTAATATCTTTTCATTCTCAATAAATTATAATATATCTATATATAATTGTTTTTTTTGTTTATTCACACTGTTATCGACACAAAACGATTGATATCTTGTTATTATAGTTCGTATCAATTCAATGATTAAAATATTTTATCGTATTTGATATAATACATCGATACGTACACCAATGCATTCGTTATTTTTGAAAGACAGATGTTTCGACATTATGTCAAATATTTAATATCGTATACGAAAGTGAGAGAGAAAGAGAACATGTTAACGTTTGTGATTTATTTCATTTTTTGCAATAAGTATCACGAGTAATCCTGGGAACTAAATGATTTCACTTGCTTCCACAGTTTAACTAGAAGAACTTGATAACACTTACCCGTCAGTTACGACTATTTCTAATGTGCTTGCTAGCCACTACTGGATGACCTTCTTGTCGCCACGTTTTATAAACTACGTACAACACCGCTAAAAGAGGAAGAAGGCTAGCGATAATTGAACAGAACGGAAGAACAAAAAAAAAGAATATACGTGATCAACGAATCAGCACGAGTTGTTAATCATCTACTACCACCTCACTTTTCTACTTTTTTTTCCCTCTAATTTTGTACTCATTTAATTTGTACATATTTGTATTCGTTTTACACGATTATCTTTTACATAAATTTTCTATTCACGCAAATAAATTAACAATATTATATCCGTTCATAAGTTTATCCACCGAATAAGATTAAACGATTTGGCATGGTTGGAACAATAAAGTGATTTAATTAACATTAATTCTATTCAATACGTACGTAGGTACGTTATAATTACACATAAAGATATACATTTTCAAAGCTTCTATTATATTTATTATTGCAAAATGTTAAAATATAATTAACATACAAATGTATCAGCAGTTTTGTTAGTAATGTAAATTTTCTTCTTGTTTCTTTTTTTTATTTTTTTTTTTATTTTACAGTCGCTTCTTCATTCATTCGTACGTTTTTTGTTTCCTTTTTTATTACATTATTATTATTATTATTATCATCATCATCGTATTATTTTATTTTATGCAACTAAAATATTACATCGGTAGGTGAAATTTATTCTCGTATCTATAGAGAGGCAAGTAAAGACTTCCGAATGGGGGAGGGGAGTTGGGGAGGGAGGGGGTGGAGAGGCAAGTCGAATAAAATAATTCGATAAATGCGACCGAAAAACTTGTTTGCTACACCTACCAGCACTAACAAGGGAAAGGCGGTTTTATGAGGTTGCGGTATAAGATCCGTAAGGAATAAAATATACTCGTATACACAATTATACCTTTAGTCGAAGGAGAGTATTAAGATGTTACGCCAGGAACGTATGTGTGGTACATATGTATCGTACAAGTCAAATAGAGAGATATGTATAATACATAAGTCGAATAATTCGTTACGGTTTACGAATTCTCTTGAATTTATTAACATACAAATCTAAATAATTCCTGTCGTTCCTTTCTTTCTTTTTTCTTTTTTTTTTTATCTGTGTTTCTACGTTTACGTATGTATTTGTAATGTATCTTTATACGTGTATAGGTGTATATATATATTTATGTGCATTACGATTATCATTTTATCGATAAAATGTGTTTGTCGATATATGTGTATTTTTTAAAAAATAATTTCTTGTTTTTTATCCGTAATACTGAATAATAATGAATACGTACTTAAAAATATTTGATTAACATTCTATTCTTGTTCCTTATTTTTCTTTTTCATTTGCAATAATGATGCTACCTATCAGATTCATGATATTACATAGTATAATAGGAAATATGATATTATTCCGTAGCATCGACTCTAATAGTGGAAATGTACTGTGGATTGTCAGAATCAATAATCTTAAAGAGAATATGAGTTAACCGCAGGATTCATTTGTCTGGCTAGATGGTTTATATTTTATTTTATTTTTATCCGACACTTTACCTATTTTTCATTGACATCGGATGATTTTTTAACATCGTCTAATAAATCTCGATGCATTTAAATATTTAGCCTTACGTTATCTATTATTTTATTTATATATATTAATCCTATTGTAAGTTTTGTGTTCACGTATTGTAATTATCAATTTCAGTAGGCTCAAAACTTTTCAGTTCACATCCTCAATTTTCATTTTTTCTGAATAAAACTGTAAAGAAAATTACTTTTCCATATAATATGAAACTAATTGGTATATGAGAATGCACGTGAAATTTTTCCCTTCGTTTTCTCGAAAAAGGTTGAGTATTGGGTTTTATTGTTTGGTCTACTGTTTGCACAGAGGATATATTTCTGATTTAAATAGAAATCGGTGTCTTGTCAATTTTGCTTTCCTCTTGTTGTTGCCCCAAGGAATATGCAACCACTACGCATCGTTAACATGGAAGTATTTTACGAAAATATAAACATTCATAAGGGGCAACATTCGTAGTAAGCAATCTGTCAGTAATGAGCTTATTAGCTGATGATTTTTACATATTTCTTATATTAAATTTTATCTTTCATTTAATTATTTAATATTTATTTAAACAAAACGTTTAATAAAGTAAAGATTAAAACTATATGATATTTAATAAACTATGTTGAATATATTTTAAATGAAAAATATTATTTTTAATATGTTTTATTTTACATTTTAATTCGTCTAACATATATTTCTAACATTTATAATATATATACGTATATATTATTTATATTTATATAAAACGAAGACTATTTAAAAATCTAATTTAAATAGTGTTTTTCGACTTTCAGTAATATTATAATAATATACATAGACAAATCATTATTCAGAACAACAATAACACTAACTATCGAATTACGTAAAGTAAATTGTTATCTTAAGACAATCAAGACATTCGAATTTCAATAACAATTAACATATTTCGGATACAAGTAATCGTACTGTCAACGTATTTAATCTTTAAACTAGACAATATAACGAAATTGTTATTTAAAAGTGTTTTAAAACGAATTTTGTTTACCGTATTACGCGTTAGGTTTAATAAATTGTGTAATATTTTTAATTATTTATACGAATAATTGTCTTTTTATCCAAAGATTGTTTAACTTGCAAAGTATGACTTATATCGGTATTTAAATCGTATCTTTATTACATACATATATATATTTTCTATATTTTACAAAAAAAATAACAAAAAATGAACGAGATAGACAATTTATTCAGCAAAAGTCGGTTAGAAACTTAGCGTTTAAAAGTATTTTCGTCTCTCTTCATTTATTCTCATAAGACTAGATGATCATAAGCAATATTTCATAATAATGATGGGTATTTAATGCGTTGACGTCGAGTACACAGATAACAGAATTTTAAAAATCGTTTGCTACTTGTCTCTTTCAGTCGAAATCTGTCGTTCTCACTGACGCGAAACTGTTCTTGCAAATCGACTATACTTATTTTAAATATGATACCGATTATGAGTGTTAATTAAAAAAGAAAAGAGAAAGAAAGAAAGAAAGAAAGAGTGTGTGATAGAAAAAAAAAGAAAAAGAAAATACGAATAATTGTTGAATTGGAAAAAAAAACGAAATGTTATTATAGATAATAATTTTAAATCTTATAAACTTTTAATTCATCAAATTTATCAGTCAAGAAACACAATCGGAAATAAGGTTGTCGAATTTTCATAATTAATAAGAGGAAAAATTGTAATAACAAAGAAAAAGAACGATAAGAAAACACAAAGAAATGGCGAAGGCTGCTAGTATTAGTAATGTTGAAATGACCGAAGCAGAAGAACTAATAAATAAAGATGAAATTACTAATAAACTGGATGAAGATATTAAAATGGAATATGAGGCACCGGAAGGTGGTTGGGGGTGGATCGTGACTTTGGCGATGATCATCATTCTTGTATGTGTATAACGATTTTAGATTAATTCAAAAACAATTTCAATTGAATTTTGTAATGTTATTTATTATTAAACGAAGTAATATCGAGGTATCAGATTTTGATGCATTTTTATTTGGGTGATTTATATTTTTAGAACAATTACGTAACATAGTAATTTTTATCTTAATTGATTAAATATTATATATATATAAAAAAACAATTTTAAATATTTTATATAAATTGAAATGTATATATTACGAACCAAAGTGATTTTTAATTCGTCATTACGTATAATTATTTACAAACTTTATTATACACATTTCGAAATTAATTTTGAATTTTCTCAAAATCAGATTCGAGATACTTTTTTAATTGAGAGCCGTATCTAACAAATAATATGAATTATTTTTATAGATTACGGTTATCGGACCAGCCCCATCGATTGGATTAATTTTTGGTGATTTTCTCGAGCCTACCGGTCAAGCTGGACTTTTATTGACACTTTTTGGTGCACTCTTCAGTATTACTTTCTCAATCTCTAGTAAGTTTAATATCTGACACATAATTGCATTGTATTTTCTCTTCTGATACGAGTATTACGTACATCAAAAATTAATTGTAATTACGTAAAAAAGATACGTTCGAATATTATCGAACAGTATGAGCATTTCGATATTTCAAAGAGAAATCAATTAAATTCAACTTGAATTAATAAATTATCATATTATGTCAGTTCGCGAATAATCATAATGAATATTTGTTTTAAAAATTTCGAATATTGCATATAATAATTAATGAACAAAATATTGTCGACGTTTTATGAATTTAAAACGTTTTGTACGTACGTACGTATGTATCTATGGGATTCTTAATGTAGGTATAATTGTATAACGATTTTCATTAGGCGCCAAGATTAGAAATAGTTAGTGGGAGAGGTCGAGATACGAAGCATATTTGCATACAAACAGAATACTATTGTAACGTTATATTGTTACGTATATATTTATCATATATATGTAAGATTCTATTTCTTAATAAGTATACATATCTTACTTATACTAGTTTTGTGTACACTGTAGTACACTTGATCCTTGTTCAACATATTCATTAAAAATTATCATTGTAGAAAGATCATAATTGATTTCGTCGACGTTTCCTCGTATTGTCTTAAATGCAGATAGGATATAAAAAAAAATTTTGTTGCAGAAAGAATTAAGTTTTTATGATAGCATAAGATAAGTTAACGAAGTATTTTTTGTTTTGTTATATTGTAATAGCAAACACGATACTCGATAAACTCTATGAGAATGAAAATTATTTCTAGAGTAATGAGAAAGAATGAAACAAATTGAAAAGATAAAATGATATCGGATAATCGAAAATGCCATTTATACATGCGTACGTCGTCAATTTGCACGAGGATTAAAATGTAGACCGTGGTAAAAGAGGAAAACACAGTGGCGATAAGAAAAGATGATGAACCATAACGGGCGGTAGAATTGTAGAATAATTTAACAGACATTTTTCCGATTTCGTTGATAGCGTTTATTAATAAATTTTTATGTATCTTTTTTTTTTGCGAGAAAACATTAAACAAAGTTTCTTAAACAATTTTATATTCGTATGTCGTATCTTCGTAACAAAAATGACTAATTAATGACATTCATTTGAACTCGTATGTGTGTGTGTATTTGTAAATTTTGATTTATATTATTTTTTAGGCCCGCTAGCTAATTATTGGATGCAGAAATATACGATGAGACCGGTTGCAGTAATGGGAGCGATATTGTTTTCTGCCTCAAACATTTTATTAGCTTTAGCCATCAATATTTGGCAAATGATGATTTTATTTTTAATGCAAGGAATCGGAGTAGGACTTCTTCTTACGCTAAGTAACACGAATTTCAATTCTTACTTCGTGAAAAAACGTGCTCGAGTAAGTGAAAACGAGAAATTCGAAATTCCAATCGTAACGATATATATATATACCTACATATATACTTTCATTATATCCATTTTGTTTTGAGAGAGAAAAATATCAAGAGAATGCGAATCGTAAAACAAAAAAATTCAATCGAAAATAATTTGATGTCTCAGATAATGAGCCTGGCCCAAGTGATCATCGGTATGGGTGCCATCGGTTATCCCTATTTTATCGACAAAATGATGCCACTGTACGGCTTTCGAGGTAATTTATTTAATCCAATTACGCGTATAAAGAAAGTATACTATTATACATATATATAATATATATATTATATATTCGCCGATGTTGTTTTTATTAAACAGGTAGGTAGGTACATATATTTATAACGACAAAAAGGAAAGAAAGGATTACCTTATATAAACAAGCCAAGGACGTGTAATTACATGAAATTATATTTTATAAAAGAAAAAAAAAAGAATATTAATATGAACATCATCGATAAAACACAATGAAGCAATAATACAATACATATAAATATAAATAAAGTATTGATTTAAACATAGGCGACGAGTAAAAAAAACAAATTCAAAATTCGACCGGCATTTCTAAAAACAAACGATTTCATTTTTATTTATTGTTTTATCGTCACCAATTGTAAAATATTTGTTGTATTCTTCGAAGGTACCGCTGGTATAATAGGTGCGATCAGTTTGAATTGCATTCCTGCTGTACTTATGTTGCACCCGGTTGAATGGCATACCAAGGGTAGAAAAGTCATTTCCGCGGAGAGAGTTTGCAAGGCTGTGAAAAAATCTAAACAACGTTCGAACATCGATGACCATCACAAAGATTCGTCCGGTCAATGGACCAGTTTACGTAGTTTAAGAGAAAACAGAACCCAGAAGGTTACTTTGTTATGCAATTCTTGCAAAATTTTTCTTGTTTTTTTTTATTTTTCTTCGGAACGTGTTGATTGAGATTGAACGATCGAATGATAAAATTCATTTCAGACTGAACCAACCGAGGAAATTCCTAATAACATTGAAAACGAAGAATGTCGTGTTAGATCATGGTCGTGGTCAACTCGTGAAGTTTTGACCGAAAGATTGCACGTATTTTCTTCATCAAGTGCAGCGAATTTGGCAAGTGGTATAGGTGCACTAGCACATATCAAAAGTAATTCTAAGATATTAGTTAACAACACCATAGATGATACTAATCAAGACAAATGCGGGTAAGTTGGATACAAGTTTGTAAATTTCGTACATTATTTTCGTTTAATTCAAATATTACAATATTATAATCTTACATAATATTATTTTACACTAGATCCTGTTTTAAGAAATTTATCAAAATAATGGATCTTTCTATGTTGAAAGATTTATATTTTTTGAATTTAAGTTTCGGTAGCAGTATCGCTATTACGTGCGATTTTACTTTTGTTTCATTATTACCTATAATGATGTTTCACGATGGATACACCAGAAGTGAATCAGCTTTAGCTATCATAGTTAGCGGTACAGCAGAATTGATTTCTAGAATTTTACTTGCTATTTTTAACTTTTTCGTCAAAGTACAAGCTAAATACTTGTTCTTCGTTGCCATGATTGCGATGTCGTTCGCTAAAGCAGGTACAATTTTTCTTTCTTTTTTTTCTTTCTCTTCGAAAAATAAAAAAGAAATGTACTCAGAGTTCATACAAGATTTATTTGTTGTTTTTAAAGGATTTGTAATTTTCGAGGATGCATTAATGGCTGTGTTAGTGATGAATGCAATAATCGGTATGGTACGTGCTTTGATGTTAGTACCACAATCTTTAGTTATCATAGAATACGTTCCAATAGACAAATTATCATCTGCTTATGGTTGTTTTGGATTTATTATGGGTATCACTTCGCTGGTGTTATCACCTCTTCTTGGTACGTAAATAACATATCTTATAGTAAAAATAATTCAGATAAAATATCTATAACAATTATATTTTAATTAATATATATATATATATATAAATATTATAGGAAATATCAGGGATTGGACTGAAAGTAATCAACTGTTTCAATACATTACATTAGGAATTCATACCGTGTGCATTTTCCCATGGACATTGCAATTTTTCTTTGTGGATTTTCAAGAATGGAGGAAGACACGACGTAACATTAACTTATCCAATTCTTCAAATTAACGTAAACGGAGAGAGACGGAGAATGATTAAAATAAGTATTAATGTGTGCCTAATTTTAAGTATAATAATATAATATATATATATATATGTATAGAATTATTAGATTACGTTACTTTTGTTCGCGTAGAAAATAATGCAACGCTTAAATGAAAATCGAATGTTTTTCTTATATATTTAAAATAATTTTATCGAATCAGACGAACGATGAAGAAAAAAGTACTTATTATTATTATTATTTTTTTTTTCTTTTGTGTTAATGTAATATTATAATGATTATCTTTGTTAATTTTATACATGTTAACTTAACTAAAGACTAAATTAAGCATATATATATATATATATATATATGTAAATTTAATTAATATTCATCCGATATGATTTTACTGAAAGATCATTATTTATTAAAATAAAAAAGTGATTTTAAGCTCGACTTTCTGAAGAAATATTTTGTCGTGGTTCGATTTTTATGTTAAAACCATCGGATCTCTTCAATATAATATCTACTTGTAGTCGAAATTGTGTATGAGGTACATCGGCTATTATCTTATAGTTTCTCAGTATAGTCGATATAAGTACTTTTAATTTTAACAATGCGAATTTACGTCCCACGCAAGATCTTGAAACAAAAAGAAAAAATAATAATATAATTATTTAAAATTTGATTTTTAATACCGAAGTATTAGTGAAGGATATTATTAAAGCATTGTTGACGAAAAACTCGAATCAGCGTTTTATCTTTCTGTTTTATTTTTTTAATTATTGAAAAATATTAATTCACATATTGTATCGCGTATAAAAAGCCGAAAATGATTTAGTTCAATAAAATAAAAGAACAATGAATCACATGAAGAGACATAATTAAAAGTTTCATTAAAATATGCGAGCTCATTGAGTTTTAATGATATAATAGAAAAATAAATAAGAAATTGTTTTACACTTTCTTAAATCATTCTTATGATTTAAATTCAATAAAATTTAAATTATTTATTAAATGATTTAAAAAATATATGAGAGCGAAAGTTCAGAATATATGTTTGTTGTAACAAATCGTCATCAATGCGTTAATAAATTGTAATGTAATTGTAATTACCTTGGACCTGCGCTGAAAGGAATGTAGGAATAATAATGTCTCTGTTGCATTTTTTCTGGTAAAAAATTGTCCGGATTAAATACCTCAGGATTTGGATAATATTCCGGCATACGATGAATTTTGTATTGCGGTATTATGACTCTACATTTTGATGGTAAGATTTTCTTATTGCTAACTGAAAAATATAATATATCTTATGATTAAACAAAAATTTTTGTATAAATAAAAAAATGAATATATCATAGTAATTCATCGAATTGTGATTACCTAATTGTACGTCTTCGTGAAGGACTCTTGCTATTGCTGGAACTGGTGGGAAAAGTCTCAAGGTTTCTAAAATGACTCTTTCGAAATATTTCATTTCAAGAGTATCTTGAAATGTGCATGGTCTATCTGAATCATTGAATATCATATTTAATTCTTCCATAACACGTTCCTGAAAACAGAAAAACAAAAAAAAAATGATCATACGTAATCTAACGAAATTAATCAATAATTACGGTTGATCAAAATAAATGAAAATCTACGATCAACGAAATAAAAAAGTTAATACATATATCGCGAATATCGAAATTCTTGCGATAGTTATTTAGTTTATTCAGTTTGTAGCATACTTCTATATATACGCATTCATAACCTGTATATTTTTCACGATCAATTTTATTTTCATCATAAAATGGGCAACGCAGAGAACGGAAAGTTATTGTTTAAAAAATTTTGTTCGACTTGTCATACTATCGAAAAAGGTGGCAAACATAAAATAGGTCCTAATCTGTTTGGAATCGTAGGGAGAACATGTGGCAGTAAGTATACAATTATAATGCACGTGAACGAATATAATTGTTTGATTTATTTTCGATAGAAAATAATAATCGTAGTGAGATCACATATTTTTTTTTTCTTTATCTCTTAATGGTATTAATTATTTTTCCATAGCTACGACCGGATTCGTATACACGGAATCTATGAAAAGGAAAGCGTGCACGTGGGATGAAAATACTTTGGATACTTATTTGGAATTTCCAAAGAAATTTGTACCAGGCACGAAAATGGTATTCATTGGTATTAGAAAAAGCGAGGATCGCAAAGATATAATAGAATATTTAAAGACGTTAAAATAAACGGTAGAATACAATTTAACGGATTTGTTTGAATGATTATGTATTTGTAAAATATTTACGATATTTTATTACCACGCTTGTTTCAAATTTGCTATACCTGAATATCTGGATTAACTCCTAGGATGCAAAGTATGAAACTAGAAGCTGCTGCCGTAGTATCGTGACCCTGGAAAAAAAGAAAGATAGATATTAAATAAATTTATCAATCATGTTTTCTCTTTTCTTTTTTTTTTATTCTGATCGATTTTACCTCGAACATTATGGTATCGACTTCTTCTTTAATTTCCTCATCGGTCAGATTAGTACCATTTCGGGCAAGTTCCAACATGTGTTCTAAAAATGCAGAACGTTTTTTCAATCCAATATCATTCTCGTCCATTTCGTCGAGATCATCCTTGACGTAATGCAAATTCATATATTTCTTTTCCGAATTATCGTTACTCTTCTTATCTTTCTCGTCGTTTTGAGATTTATTATTCGATCCTATGACGTGCAAATTCAATGCTTCCAATTTTTTCTCTTTTATTATTTGCGATGTCAGACTGTGGACGGTGTTCACAAGTTTTTCTTGTTCCATTCCGTATTTCGTCCATTTGAAAAACTTATCGAATCTTAATAGTATACTATACTGTCTGATATGAATGATATTGCACATTCTGTATTAAAAAATAAAAAGAAATTGTGAGTAAGAGTGGTCGATCCGAATTTTTTATAAATTAAAATGAGAAATGGAAAATGATTGAAAAAAAAAGAAACAAAAAATAAATAAACATCATGTTTTCGTAATAATCAAAAAATATATATATGTACTTCATAACGGCCTTGGCATAATCGAAACTTGTCTTCTCTTTATTTTTTCCTCTAACTCCCATGGCTGTTTCCACCAATATGTCAACCGTTACCGTTGACAAATAATCGTGACAATCGAATTCCTTTCCAACTTGATCTCTCAATCTTTTTACCAAAGTCAAACTGTTCTCGTAAAATAACGGTATGAATGATTTAAGTATGCTCATATGAAACGCAGGTGCTATAAATTTTCTGTGCGAGTACCATTTTTGGCCATTGCTAATTAACAAACCATCACCTAACCAGGGTTTGAAGAATCTAAAATAAATATTATTTTTACTTTGATTTTTTTGTTTTTATAGAATTTTATTTTTTAATATATCTTATAAGTTTCATTAATATAGAGAATTATATAAAAATACTTTTATTACGAAATAAAATAAACTTTAGATATGTTCAATGCTATCATAACGATTAGATAACACATTTATAGTTGTTTATTAACTATTACGACGAACGAATACACAATTTAATATACGATTGTAAGCGGATTAACATTCGTTATTTTAACCTGTATTCTGGTGACTTGGTTATGTGAACATGACTGCTAAGAACTACTTCAACGTCACGCGGATCCGTGAGAAATACGATTAATTCCATTCCGACGAAAGCACGAGTAACGGGTCCGTAAATATCCAGTGCAAGTAATTTATTTAGGATATCTCTAGGATGAATGTTGAACGCTAATAAAATATTTCCAAAAAATGGAACAGTTGGTGGTCCTAAAGAAACAAATTATATAAATATATAATTATACATATAAGTATAAAATATTATATGTGTGTATACTTGTAATAATACGATTATTCAACGTTATACGAATTTTATTTTGTTCGTTTGTTAATTTTTCATTATTTTAAAATATATTAATGTAATAAGATTATCGTTCGGATTGAAATCGAAATGATTGAACGATTTAATTTTCTATGATAAAGTTAAAAGAAATATATTTATGTTTGTTAATTATATGATTATTTTATTATTATCATTATTTATTTATTTTATTAAATACAATAATATATTACCTGGTAGTTTTCTTCCATATCTAACGAGTCTAGATGTTTCTATATAAAAATAAGTAGCAGCTAGAATTACAGTCAGTATCATCAACGAATAAAATCCCGTGGATGATAAAAATGACGAGGTAACTGAAACCGTTTCCATTATTCTTTCTTTTTTTTAAATCAAATTTTCTATCTTCGAACAAAATATTTTAACTGTCTAAAACACTTGAAAAAAAAAAAAAAAACGTGAACAGCACACTATTCACTGCTGTAATATTCTATTACGTTTATTAAATAGAAAACTGCAAAATTTTCTTGACAACTTCTTTCGAATCCAATGGTTATTATTCCTTTATTTCGTTTTACTTTTTTCTCGATCGAACAACAACGTCGATTTAAACTCACCGAGTTAACACGTAACAATGACTAGGTCTGTTAGTCTCTGATATTTTATAAACTTAGTAAATACCAGTAGAATTAAATATTGTGTAAATTATAGTCCGACCTTAGACCTTTTCCGGTGATGGATTACGTTCTAATACGACGTAATGGAATATATTTGTTTGTCGTATTAAATCTGCTATATGAAATGATAATTGCTGTTTTTTTTTTTCGTTTATTAGGCGCGTATCCATTATTCATTTGGTTTTTCAACGTAATTATTAAAATTTTATTTGAATTATGGAATTATTGTCTGATCGATTTTTGATTAAGTATTATGATTCCCTATAGTATACATAGTATATTAGATGCAGCAATTAATTTGTTATCTTTTCAAACCAAATATAATATTTATTTATAAAATAATCATACGTATGTGTTATTAATCGAAATATTTTCTATTATATTCGATAACTTTGGTGCATCATCTTTCGAATTCATTGACGATAAAAAAAATGTCGATTTTTATTGGTAAAATTTTAATAATATCAAGGTTACAATGTAATTTCAACACTTAATACGAATTAATTACAAATGTATAATTTTGTGTGGAGTATTTGTTATTCAAAAGAGTAAGAAGAAAGTATAAAATAATTGATTTCTGAGTTATCGAAGCATAGAGTAATATATTCGCGGAAATGATGTAAGCAAGATACCCACCCCCTGCATAGACTGCGTGTGTCAGAAAATAACCTTTCGAGTGGTAATGAAAAAACAACAAGGAAGACGAAAAAGGAAGGGAGAAAGATAATATGCAATGAACGGAACGAAGATAGAAAATGACAAAAAAAAATAATGAGAGAATAGAAACCGTTCCCTTTCGTGGTCGGGCACAAGAGCAATTTCACGAAATTACGGAATTATCGATGGTCACCCTTTATTACTACCGGTGGTTGCTAGCTACTCCTATACACGTTTCCGGTTTAACATAATTATTCATCAAAAAGAAAAAAAGAAATGCAGGTACAAATTTAGGGGAAAAATATTTGGTAATCATCGTCTAGATGAACATCGAATCTTTGTTACTGGCACGTGGATTTAATTTATATGTATTGGTACACTTGTACGATTATCTTTTTTTTGTATTTTTGCAAATCAAATTAGAAAATAATGCTAAAACTAAATAAAGGTGATTGACATTATAAAATGCAACTGGACTATGGAATATAACCGGAGTATTTTAAATTATACAGTTTTAAATTTAATCAAGGAAAGTGTCTGGAAAAAAATCAAAGAACGTGGAACTAAACTAAAAAAAGAAAAATTAGCGTAATTTGTAATATCGTTCAATATGTTCTTTATTTATAAGAAATTTATTGGGAATCTTAATGAAAGGTGTTTTTTTTTTTTAGCAGAGATCCATTTAAGATAATATTGTATAAATAATTAAGATGTATTTTAAATATTTTATAAAAAATATCAAGTACAAAAAAAAGGATGCGTGTTTTTTTTTCTTTCTTTCATTTATAAATGAAATAATAGCTTATTATTAAACTTAAAATAAGGCACTTGTATTTACAGGTCATCTGGTATTTTATTTTTTATTAATTTCGAACGAATTATAATGTCAACGATGATATTTGGGCAAAGCTCATTGTAATTTATACAAAACTTTTTGATTTCATTATCGTTTATCGTAATTTTGAAAATGTTCGCTGAATTGTTACTTTTTCATACGTAGTTAAATATATAATTAGACTTTGGATGTTTATACAAATGCATAATTTTATATAAAAAAAAAAAAAAGAAATCAGATAACAAAGCACAAATATTTTTTATAATCAGAACGTATTAAAAATATATTTTTTTATTTTGCATTTTATACTCGATGCATGTATTCTGCATATATTTCACAAGCACATTGAATAGTAAAAGTCAGATTATTTTGATGCTATTGCAAATTGTGGAATTCTATTAAATTGTTTTTTAGTAAAGCGTTAAACCAGATGATATATGTGATATCAAAGAATAATGTGAATACAATGCAAATGTAATTATAAGAAAAATTTGTAAGCACTAAACACGACAAAACCGTATTTATTATACTTTGAAACAATAAAAAAAATCAATTATGCAATTATACGTTGCTATGTAAATTCGGCCTTAAATAATTCAAAAATGGCGTAAATCATTAAATTATAAAAGTAGTAGAAAAAAGTTTCTTTTTATTTACAACAAATGTAGCACCGTATACGATCATAGCAAGGAAGAAATTGTAATTATTTTATGCAAATATGATAGATGCATTATAATTGGCACGATGAATAGTTGAGGAAGAATCACTTTGTTTTCCAATTATTAATATACTAATATTATCGATAAAACAAATATTTTTTCAAAACATTACTTTCGTATTAAAACGCGAACAAAAATAATTATCAAATATTCCTTTTTCATCAGAATCGATTTTAATTGGATGGGGGATTACGTAAATCGAAGTAGCATTATTTTATACTAATAATAGTAGAAAAATGTAAATAAAATTTTGTTTTCCCATGCACAAATGTTACATGCTTCTTACATATTTATCGTGCATAAACATCCGGAGTCTATATATATATATATAATATATTTATCGTTTTATATGTATAAGGTGTAGCAATTAATCCGGTGACTCGATTCGGTGCTTTCATTGCATCAAAATCATGATTTTTATTTTTCATCAAGAAAATCGACAGTTGCTGCCGAAAGATGAAACAAAAGTCATCGAAAATATATTGGAAATTATTTCGAAGAATAATAATAACATTATAAATAAATATTAAATTTAATAAAGAACCGAATTAATTGCTACACCTGACACATATATTATAACATTGTACATTATAATAAATGGACAACGTGATATAATTATTTATATAAATATAAAATGACACAAATTTTAAATATTTCATATAAAATAGCAAAGTAGAAAAAATAGTATTATAGACTAACAAGACTATTTCCTTATTTCAATTAAGGCACTTTTATATACAAATTGTTTCGATTACGTTACGAACGTTGTTAAAACGTATACATAGATGATGTAACTTGTTTTCAGTTTTACCATCATTATATGAACCATCCTTCTCACAGTATAACAGCGTAATAGATTAATAAAAGCAGAATCCCTTCGATGAGAATCTTTTATATTGTAAACGAAAAACATTTAATTTACATATATAATAATAATAATAATAATAATAATATTTATTTACATCATTCATAAATGTTATATGTTTTTTGGATACAATTAAAACATTCTTCAAATCTTATAAATAAACATTTGTGCATCTCGTTGTTTTTCGTTGCATTTCCTTTCCACCTCTGTTTACATTTTATTGTCTTACCTTCTGTACCTTTTTGTCATATCTTTTAGAGTAATAGCATGCTTTGGTATTGAGCTCTCTCTTTCCCCTAAACAAATATTTTCTTCATTCATTTTTCACGACTGTTCTTTTTTCTCAGCTTTTGTTAAACATTCCAATATTTCTTCTTCGAACTTTTTCCATGTATCACTCACAAATCCATAAATGGAATGCATAATTCATTCTTCGATTCACGTAACATACATTTCTCGAATTTCGTTATTCTATATTTTGCGTTATCCATGTTCCTGCAATTTACGATTATTCTCGCCTATTACTTTTTATCTTTCTCCTTGGTTTTATTTTATTTTTGAAGTATGCTTCCCTTCACGAATTTTCTTTTCCAATTTTTATATATTAATCGCAACAGTATACCATATTTTATTTATTTTTTGACAATCACTATTCTTGCATATTTATTTTTGATTTATTCCGATTCTTATATCACTTTCTTTTTAGTTGTTTTGTTTTTCAATCTCTTCTATATTTCTATTCTGTTTAAATACTTCTAGGATCCTATCCCTATTTCCTTCTCACATCCCTTTTTATATTCCTTGTATCCATAAGAATGAGAAATCTGACATGGGTTTTTCTGATTCTTCCATATTTTTAGCTTAAGGTGACCATTTTATTTTACTTTAAAACCAAGATATATTTTGTTTGTTTGTTTGTTTGTTAACAAACTCTCAACAATTTCAAGTCATATCCATTTTCAAGATGTTATTTTTTTCAATTATTAAATATATTCAATCTACCAAGCATTTTATTATATTTCTTGTATATTTGTTTATATCGTCCTATCAATACGTTAAATGTTTTAAAAATTTAATGGGCAGCCTTGTTTTACACTTTCAGTCGTTACAAAATTTCTCGATAGTTATTAAATAATTTTAATATTCGCTTATTCAATCTATTGTTAACGTATATGTGTATATATATACACTTTTATATTCGTTATAATGTAAAAGACGAATATTTAAAATAATTTCAGTCAAAATTTATTACTTGGCAACACATAATAGTAGTTAATCGATAATATATTTTAATTATTTAAATATTATATTGGTCCACGAATCATTATGATTGTACATCACGCTTTTAAGGCACTCACTATATATCATATTATAGTTATTATAAATATTTAAGTAAAATTTTTTTACGTAGCTTAGATTTGTTGTATATAAAATATCTTTAGTAACAAACATGTACATATGTATTTCTATGTATACGTTTAAACGTTTAAAGAGAAAACATTTGTGTCTCGATATTTTACGTTGTTGTAATAATTATCTTAAAAATTTCATCATTCAAACGATTATTATAATTCATTTGTTATAATTTTTCTTTCTTTTTATCTTTTTTAATATTATAATGTAATATACTATTGACAATGTATTTCTGTAAAATATCATTTCTTCGAAAGAAAAAATAGGAAAAATGGTATAGGAAAGACTGTCTCAGGCAGTGGTCGAGAAAGAAAATACTTTTTGTGCGATAAGTACTAATAAATATTACGTCGAAGATTTTATCCTACGACGATTCTTCTTTTTCCTTTTTTTTTTTTCTTTTCGGTTTCGTGAGATCATTACACTTTAGTTTGCTGCATGCTCGATTATTCTTCTTGCTAATAATCATTAAAGTAATCTGTAACACAACAAGTAATAATAAAATATTATTATTAATATTATTAACAGAGAGATTATTTTGAAAATAATATCTCAATAGATAAAATGGATAAAAGATAATTTAGAAAATTCTATTTGGATTTGCAATGAATTCAAAAATAATCTTCCCACTTCCTCATACAATTTTCACACGTTGATATTAGAAAAATATTATTAATCGAAATATATCAGTCGTTAATTAATTAATTGTTACTTTTGTAATGATATTCATTTATCTTTCAAGATACGATTAAAATATGCTCGTCATATTTTTACGAAATGCATCGAAACAAATTTAGTTTCGAATAAAATCGAAGCACTTGTATGAAAAATGAATATTTCAACATTTATTAGAATACATATAAACCTTTCTAGAAGCTTTCGATTCTACGGTATTGAGTTTTGAATTAGGTTTTTACGAATGAAACGTTTTTTCCTTTCATTTTCTCCATTTTAAAACGACGGATAGGAGGGAAACTTGAATCCCAGGAAGAAGAAGATTTCTGTTTCTTCCCTATCCCTATTTTCACCCCATTCCAATTCCCCATAAATACAGATTTTTCCCACGAGCTCTGTCCTTACGAATGTCCGACAGATACCTAGAATCGTTTCTAAATTTAATTCTTTGCAATCCAGGTAAATAAGAATCCATTCGATCGGGATGAATGTAGTATAGTACAATGAACGGATAGGACAATGCTTGTCCCTAACGTACATAGGGATTTTTTCCTGATCTTCTTCCCCTTCAAAAGATTTGTCAATATACTTGCATCGCATATAAAATTTTGTCCTTGCAAATGTTTCTTCTTGCTTAAGTTTAACGAAAAAGATTTCTGTGATAGATTTCATTAGATTTTTTTTTCATTGATATAAAATAACAGGAAACTAATCTTCAAGAATTTTCCAATAAATGTTACGTTAATTTTATATACATATATATATATATTTTTTTTTGTTTATAGATCTAAATTATTAATATACATTTTACTTATTTTTTTTCCGTATTACTTATTTCATCCAACAGGATTCACGCGTGTTTTTAATCTTTTAACTTAAGATGTGGCTAAGTAGACGATAAAAAGATAGAAAAGATAATTCGAAGTAGTGGCACTTTGGAAATCTTAAAAGCCGACGAAGTCATTTATTTTATCGGAAAACCAAGAGTCTTTTAGAATTGGATTACTTGGTATTAATGAACTCCCTAAAACTTTTTAGTATATAAAATATTAAAATATATACATGTGTATATTGTACAATGTACGAAATTGTAGAATATCAAAATTCACATTGTCCGAAATATTCATGAATAAATAAATTTAAATATTTGACCTTTTATCAACGTATTTGGTATGTGTTAACATTTCTTCACGCAAATCTTGAAGCTCTTTAATTCCGATATTTCACGGTAACATGTACATATGTGCATATATTGTGTATATAATGCTATATATTATTATAATGTAATATATATATTCAATTAAAAACGTGAAAATAAAATTGTTTAAGTTTTGTATTCTTAAAACTTCCTATAAAAAAGTTAAATGATAACAAGAGTTAAATATCGATGCGACTTTGTAAAGAAAATAAATCGTCTTCGAACGATTGGCCTATCAAATTGAATGCAATAGAATTACCATGCTGGTAATGCTTATTGATAAGGTTGGGTAGTCAATATGCGGGTTTTGTCAGTATCCAACAACTTATTGAATTCCTTTGTCCTTCGCGTATTTATGTAAAACTACGAGACAGAACTCTGACGCAAAATGCTTTATTAAATTTGCATTGTCTGGAAAATGAAGCATATATTATTGGTTAGTTGTTTATATGATAATTTGACCCATTTAATTGTCACGTATGCCAATTATCAAATTAAGCATACGAATCGTCCCGTATATTAATTTAATTTAATTTATCCAAAATATTTATTTGTTTTTATTTTTCTATCATTATTTTTGTTCGTTTGTTTTGAAAAAAATGTTCAAATTAATAATAATTTATATCGTATATCGAATACCGAAAGTATTTTTTTTTTTTTTTTTTTTCAATAAGAATAAATTATTTTTTTAAAGAAAAATGATCAACCCGCGAAAGAAAGTCAACGCGCGAATCCAAGGGCGATATAATATATAACTACACGACTGGGAGCCCCAAGAAAGGAATTTATTAAATTAATTTGCCGCGACGACGCATCTCGTAAACTTCGTAGATGACCTCACTTTATAATTGTCGAGAATTACTTGCTACTTGTGCGTTTAGTTCTCTCCCTTCGCGTGAGACTTCTTATTTCGTAGTTTCCAACTTGACTCAAAACTACGACGATACCGCGCTACTTCATTCCCCGAATTATTATTCTTACTAATAATTATGTTCATTAGTTCTTTCTCTCTGACTGTAGATCAAGTAATTCTCATCTATCATTTTATCACTATCCTCTACTTAATTGCTACCGAACTCTGTTGTTGACCTTTCTTTCGTATCATTTATTCTACACTTTTTCAATAAAATAATTCATTATTTCTTTCTTTCTTTTCTTTTCTTTTTTTTCATAATCGCTTATCCTTCTCGAAAGAGATCAAAGTAATTAACACCGATGATATATATTTTTACACGCAAATTCATCTCGAAATATGATATACGAAACGTTCAAATTATTTTCATATTTGAAATCGTATCGTTAATATTAACCGATAGAATATAAAATGATATTCGATTAAATAAGATAATCAAATAAATAATACAAAAAATTCGTAATGACTTTTAAATAAGATGAAACGTCGACGAAAGGTACGTAATATGATTTCACTGACATTGAAATTAATTTGTAAGGGTTACAAGTGTTCCTTGAATTGTTTCCTCTTTCTCTTTTTCTACATTTAAGATAGAAAGAGGGTGGGTAGGGGGAGAGTAGGAGGAGGAGGAGGATGCGCGCACGTGACGAACGCGATAGAGGAAGCCACCAAGTGGAAACTCGTGTTCGGTGCTTCCCTTTTGAACACGTGCTTCGTTGGCTTCAAGCCCGAAAATAAACTTTATGCACCGAACCACTTTGCGAAGTGCCTGCCGACGTGACACTTGAATGTCACGATCTTTTTCTCTTTCTCTCTCTCTCTCTCTCTCTTTTTTTTCCCCTTATCTTTGTCCTGCGGGTAGTATCCCACTTCATAGTTAGGATCAGTTATTACATCGTACAACGTTACGCGGGCTTTTTGAACTTGAGTAAGGTAACAGTCTCGTTAAAATTTGTTGCAATTTATTCACGCGTAAAAGATTATTTGATTAAAAATGATAATTTAATTATGAAATTATTTAATGTATAACTTTTTGAAATTAGTAAAGTACAAATATTCTTATTAATGTTTTTATATAAATTTGTTGATAACACACGTTATAAGTATCAATTAGAGGGATATACGATAAAGTATATATATATATGAATCTACTTTTAATATTTAATGTATCGATTCGTTTCACATTTCAATTTAATTCGTCCGATTGGTCGCAGAAAACTTGTGAAAGGCGAACAACGTCATTCGCAAAAATAGGTGAATTCAGTTTTAGAACTGGCGTTACATGGGCTAAAAGGGAAATAACTAAGAAGAAGAAGAAGAAGAAGAAATGTCGATACTTCCGTTGTTATTGGTACGTGTTAGGCGTCTTAGCTACGTGAGAATCGAATAAGAAAAAATGAAAGAAAGGAAGAAAAAAAAAAGTCCAGTGGCCGGCCGGCAGGCAAGCAGGCAGGCAGGCAGGCAGGCAGGCAGGCAGCCCCCATGCCGCAAATAGAAGTCAACGTTTCCGAAGAAACGCGTCGTCTACTAAAACCCACGTGCCATGCAGCCAGTAACAGCAGCAGCAACAGCAACAGCAACAGTAACAGCAGATATATGATGTGTGTTGGTGTATGCACGCGCGTATCGGCACTCGGTTCAAACCAAATGACGACAAGAAACTGCATAGGGTAACGAAGCCATATGGGTAGCATTACGATCGAGAGAACTAAACGGACGGACGGTTGCCATATGCTTCACAGAGATCTTTCTTCGACCATATCCAAAATTTAGACGGTGGTATATACGTGTATCTAATATATTATACCCGATAGATTTTAATATATTCTTATTATTGTTAATAATGTGTGTGAAATGTTCGTTCAATGAAGAAATCAATTTAGGTGAAGGTGAAGGTAAAAGTTCGTGCATTTTTTTTTTTTAATTAATATTTTCAAAGTAAATTTTTTTACAAAGAAATAATCCATCGTACAGAGTTTATAATAGAATTTATGACACACAATAAATGCACGAACTTTTGATTCATCTTATATTTTTCCGTAAACTATCTTATGATTAACACCATCGCGGTTTATTCAGAATATTTTTTTTCGATTTCTATATTTGACGTATTTATTTGTAATATTTTTTTATTCGTTGTAACTTATTGATGTATTCCCTGAAATATCGATACCTCTTTTTTTAGAAAACATTTCGTACAATACGTTAAAGTTCAATAATTTGATCAGAATAATATTCGGAGTATTAGAATGTACTTTTGTTAAACGGGAAATAAATGAATATATCGAATGAATAAAATATTAACTAAAAAGATTATTATCAAATTTATTAAACTTACTTTAAGTTACACGTGTGCCAACCTTTGAGTGTGTTGTTGAGTATGATGCACCAGTCTGCCCTGTTCCTGTTCCCACCAACTGACAACGTCCATAAATTCGCTGGTCTCAGTGATCTCTTGTTTGTAATAAAGGGCTCCTGAGAAGTTTTCAGGGCTAGCCGCGTAAACGGTCGTAGCACCTTCCTCACTGTCACCGGCACCGCTATATGGGGACAGTATTCTAGGTTCCATGTTTTCCTCGTTTTGTCCGTAATACTCGGATGGCGGGGAGGCCACTGAATTAGGGGATAATCGCGAAAAATTGTGTGCACCGTTATTGGACGACAAACAACGGGGTTCTAAATTTTCTTCGTCTCCGATGGAAGATGCATAATAATCATGAGGCGATGATATGGCCGTTCGGTTAGGTGATATTCTGTAAATATACAAATATTTCGTTAATAGATGTTTATCGTTTCATAGTATTATTATAATAATAAATTCAATTAAATATGTACAATAATATAATATAATATAATGTATATAGATTCAGAATAAATATTAATTAGTTCGTTGTCTTGTTTATTCTAATTGTTATTTGATACTCGTTTGATTTTTCGTTTAATTTCAGTATTATTTTCTTATAGAATTTTATAAATTTGTTATTTATTCTATTAAAAATATTTGTATCGTTGAATATTAATCACAAATATAATACAATAATAGTCGTAAATACTTAACAAACAAACAAAAAATGTAAATGAATATATTATAACAAATGCGTTTACACTTACCTAAGTAATTTCATTTTGTTTTTACAATTTTCCTCGTCGTCGTCCAATTGTTCACATTCGTCGGCATCTTCAACGGTAAGTACGTCGTCCTCGAGTGTTAATTTTTCTCCAGAACCATTGTGACTTGACGATACGATGCTGCTAGTAGGCGAGGGAACACACTGTGATCCCAAAGCAGAATTCGAATCGTATTCAACACCATCGGCTTCCGCGAGTAATCTTTGAAGTCCTCTGATGTACTCGACAGCCATTCGAAGTGTCTCAACCTTTGACAATTTTTTACCCCTGTCACCGTATCCCGCCGCTATATGATTCGGTATGTGTTGTCTTAGGGTTGCGAAACCATTGTTAACTTGCTTAACGCGATTCCTTTCTCTTGCATTTCTCCTGGCTACGGCAACCGGAGGTGGTTGACCGTTCTTCCCATGCTTTTTCAACCTCGATGGATCGTAAGGGGGTAAAACGTTAACCGCTGTCATACCACTTCCACTATTGTTGTTATTATTATTACTACTATTACTATTGTTATTATTATTACTATTATTATTGTTAGTTTTTGGAAATATTAAATGGGGCTGATTGCCTAATATATTGCTCTCGTTATCTTGCAGGGTTCTAAGGAGCATCAATTGTTCCTGATCGTTTCCATTTATTTGAACCCTGTTGCAGAATACCGTTACACCCATGGTCGTCATTTCGAGATATGAATTTTTGGTTAGCTTATTTCTCTCTCTCTCTCTCTCTGTTTCTCAGATGGTTTTTTAATTTCCTGTTTTAGAATTTCATTCGTGTCGTATCCTTTTTTTATTTATTTTTCTCTTTTCCCCTATCTTATTCTACGAGGTTGATTATTGGTTCTCGTAGAAACGAACGTTAGGTTTGATCGACGACGTGCCTCGTGGGAAAAGTCTCCTTCTTTTTCTTTTTCTTCTTCTTCTTCTTCTTCTTCTTCTTCTTTTCGAGTCAGGTAGTAGAAACGTTTTTTTATCGGGTCATGCGTCATGTGTCCGAGGGTGAAAAGTATTGGACGTTTTTCGCGTGGAACACGGTCGAGTCGACCGGTCCGCTCATCGACTCTAATGTCTCTCAAGGACGGGCCTAATTGACGGGGACTTATAAATAAAACACGCACTATACCGTCGGAAACAAAGACGATGAATCTTCCTCGTACGATATGCTTCTTCTTCTTCTTCTTCGATTATCAGATCTTCGATTAAAGAAGAATCTTTGGGTTTAAAGTTGAAACGAAAAATTGTCCCCGATCAAAAACTAAACTAAAACGAAAATTAGTTGTCAATAACAACAACAACAACAACTACAACAACAACAACTCTTCTTTTATTTCTCACTCAAATGCTTCTTACTTCATCTATTTTATATTCAGATAGATGATTTTTCTACACAGAAAAAACTTGACTTTTCTTCTGGTTATTATCCGTGATCTCACACAATGGGGTTGTTTCCGAGGCATCGATGAGCGGAAAAAAAACCGAGAAGGATTTCGACAATAACGTTTGACCAACCGACCGACCGACCGACCGACCGACCGATCGATTCAAAGATTTCCAATTGTCCTCGCTGTTCGATCCTCGTCTCAACTTAAATAAACCATAAAGAAGAAGTCACCAAAAGATTTATTCTTCTTCTTCCATGCATCATCATTGAAAAAGTAAACCACCGGACGAGTAAACACACTGTTTGTTGTCTTCCCTTCTTTTTCTTTTTTCTTTCGACACCTATAGAATATATTCCTCAATTTGACCAAAAAAAAAAAAAAAAATAAAAAAAGAAAAATAGAAAAGAAGGAAGATGATTATTTTCTTTATTCGATATATCACACTTTATACCAGCCCCTTCACCAAACTTGACGTATACTTTCCCGTTGTTTACTGTCGTTGCTGTTACTGTTGTATTTTCTCAAAACAATATACCACCGAAATACGAACGAACAAACGAACTAATTTGCGACCTGTATCAAGACATGGCGCTAGCGGTGGGTGGTGGTTGTTGAACGTGATGGTGGGGAGGAATAGACGATATTAACGAAAAATCCAAAAACGAATTCGTTCGTTACCTCCTTTCGCGTTTTTGCTTCGGATCCGATCTAAGCGTTACGCAACGCATGGCGTCCGCATTGAGAATGAGCGCGGACATCCGATAGATGGGTTAGGTTTCAGCATTTTGCCGCACCACCGAGTGAGAGAACAAGAGAGAGATAGGGAGAGAGAGAGAATGATAGAAAGAGCAAGATTAGGTGAGTGAGGGAGAGAGAGAGAGAGCAAAAGGGAGAAAGAGCTGGGGCAAATACGTCGACGTCGTCGTAGACACGGTGAAACCACCAGTGGAAGGGGAGTTCCCTGTATGCAGGGAAGTAAAGAGAAAGAGAGAGAGAGAACCCGTACGGGTCTGACGCATGTGTGTATGTGTGTGTGTGTGGATGCGTATGTGTCAAGTAAGATAAAGCGAGAGAAGAGAATAAGGCGTCACGGGAGAGGAAAGAGAAAGAAGTGGTGAGGATTTTGAGCACGCGCCGCAGCCCCCTTCCTCGTTTCCTCTCCCCCTTCGAAAGGAACTGAAAAAAGGGGGACCGTGGACGCCATATGCCAAAGGGGAGTAAACAGGCGTGCGCCAGTTGTGTGCCTTTCTTGTGTGCGCGCACGAGCGAATACACGCGCGCGCACGACACGTCGAGTTTTAAGCCAACCAAAAATCGAAATGTTAGGAGAAGTGGAAAGGAAACATGTTAGAGTCTCATGGTGGATGATGGACTTTATCGTCGGTAAAGTATCTATGGTCCTTGAGAAAATAAGTACTCGCGTCGATAGGTACTTTTTTTTTTAAATGTATAGTACTTATGAATGAAGGTGTGAGAAGAGAGGAGATAGATAGAGAGAGAGAGAGAAACAAGGAATATAATAAAATAAGGGTAAATTATTTTATTGTTTTTTTGTTTGTTTTCCATTGGTAACGAGTCGAATTCATTTGTTTCTCTCTCTTCGTATGATTATATTTTATTCTTTATATTATTATTATAATTAATAAAAATGTATATATATTTCTTTTTTTTTCGTATGAATTCATTTAACATAATTTTTCTCACTCTCTCGATTATTTTGTATCCAATCATTTTTCATTTAACGTTACATCATAGTTATTAGTTTACAGTATGGTATCGTTAGTCACGTTAGATAAATGCTAAGAATACTATGAATAGACGGTGCTCGTTAACGTTTCAATCGATCATTCTTGGAATTTAATCGTAAATCCAAGAGCAAAGATTAAAAGGTTCTTTCTCTTTGCCATTTTCATTAACTTCTTAATCCGTTGTTATTGATCGTTTGAACAAAGCACAGTTAGAAACGTAAAAGTAAGAATATACTGACCATGAAGAGATAAAACGTGCCTTTAGTAAAAATCTATATATTTCAAAAATACATATATTCCATTTGTGTTTAATTATAAGTTATTAAATATTCGACGAAAATATTGATCGATCGTTAACAACCAAGTCGTTTTCTTTTCACTTGCTCTAAATTATATTACCATTCATTCGTGCAATACTTATTACTACTTTCTCGCGTCTGCTTTCACTCGAGACGATTTTTCCTCTATCATATCGTATATAACCATCTCGGCTATGTTTAAAACAAAAACAAAAAGAAACTACATATATATATATATATAAATAAAAATCGAAAAAATATTTGATACCAACTGGTAATGATGTTCTTCTCTTTCCTACTTTATGTAAGAAACGAAATAAAAGGAACAGGAAGAACGAACGAATTTCGGATTCGAGAGACACGGAAGTTTCGTGTTTCCATGAGGATCATTTCTACACACCAATAGGGTTTTCTACAATTATATAAGATATATCTCACGATTCTCTTTCCCTTTCCTTCTTTTCTATTCTTTCATCGAGATTTTTTTCCTTTTGTCGTTCTCTCTCTCTCTCTCTGTTTTACTTTTTTTCTTTGCTTTAAATCGTAAGATTTTTCATTTTATTGTCATTGGACGGATACGAAATAAAGATTCAAGTTTAAAAAATGAAATTGCAATAAAGTTCAACTTTATCGAATCCTAATCTTGATATACCTAACAGCTTTGACAAAAAAAAAAGCAGCCGGGAATTTTCCCAACTGCTAGTTGGTCGTTTATAAATCACGATTTAAAAAACAGCTCTCCATTAACATTTCCCGAGGCGAGGAGGGTTATCCTTCTGTTCGCAAAACCGTAAGGGCTCTGATTCGACCTAGATCTAGTTTACCTTTTATCTCTTTCTCTCTCTCTCTCTCT